AATATGTGAAATCGATTCTCATGGATTAGCAAAATCATCAGGTGCAATCAGACAAATCTATTTTGCCGCCGAGGATATGGTTTGGTGTCCATACAGTAACTTCCGTGGCTCATTTTAATATTCTTTGCTTCAAGAAAGTACAATTGCTTTAAGACCTAGAATCTCACTATCAGAGAAATATGTTGCATCTTCCCCACAGCCATGAGAAGTAATTGTTAATTATGTGTCTGCCTGGAAACTAGGTCATATACTCATGGCATCCCTCGTAGAATGGCCTTCTTTCCACCCCATAACAGAAAGTTACTATTTACTCAGTACCTCATATATATATACATTTATCTAATTCACCCACAAAATATACTGCCATTATACTTTACAGTGTATCCTGTGAAGCACTTTGAGACGTCTCGAAGACGTGATAAGGCGCCGTATAGAATGCAAGGACGATCATTATTATTATTTTCTTGATTGAAATTATGTGGGAATGAACATTTTATAAAGGGACTCTGGCGAGCGCTGTGATGTTGGTTTATCAATGTGGCACTCCATTGGAGCTGCAGAATACAAGGTCCAGCTTTCAATACCCCGCCTGCTAAATTTTACCTCTGGAATCCTCCAGCAACAACTGTAAATATATCTTAGCTCATGGGGAGCTGCTATTGAAACTGGTGCCACGTCTCGCGATGGGTACGAGCTCACAGCAGACATCAAACTGCATTAGGCAGAGAGAACAATAACATTTTAAACTCATAATATAGACTAGCTGGGACACTAGAATACTGTAAGTATCCTACAGGATTAGTCTCGCAGCATCAGGTCCCCTGACTGAATGTAACTTTCTCCTCCTAATTTCGAGTACATCACATCTATGGGCCATGGAACAAGAATTCAGATACTTCTAAAACTCCTGTGCTTATAGACAGTTGTGGATTGAGTGACCAAAATATTATTATTTTTGAGGGGATTATAATATTAATTTATATTATTCNTTTTTTTTGCAAATTTAAAAAGCCTATATGACTGCTTTCAAATCAATGACCATATTATATCTTTGATTTATGACATTCCCCTGCTTTTGGGAAAAAAAGGCTGATTTTCAGATCTGCAAAGAAAACATCTTAGTAAACAGGGTGAAGTTGGCTGGTGGTTATTGGAGACCCAGTGAAACAGCTTCACAAATAGACACAGATTTAATAATCATATGCAATCTGTAAGATACTCAGAACAATAACTAAAAGCAACCTCCAGAACATTTATATTTAAATGAGAGTAATGAGCAGTCATGAGCAATTACAAGGTGGTAATCTCATTTGGCAGTTTAAGTGACATTCTAACCTTAAGATCAAACCTCAGGCAGTTACTAACTATTTGCTGAACACTCAGAAGTGATTACAACCTTGGCAACACTCCCATATATTAATTATGTTTTATACTTTAGCCCAGTCTGTTTTGCCTGCAGTGTGTATGGCGGTAAACAGCAATAGCCGGAGTGCTTTGTGTCAATGTGCTATACAACAACCCAGAAGGGCCTAATGATGTTGCCAAGTCTCTGATTATCACTGAATAAATTTCCATCCGCAAGAAAAAAGACTCAGGACACCGACCTGATTTGTCTATACCACTATGGCTCAGAACAATTTCATTACAGGTAGTGTATTCAACTGATCACCATAAATGAACACACGGAGGGCAGAACATTTCAGAAACTATGAACTATGAAATAATATCACATTCTCACAGATTGCTTCACTGGGAATTACTGTCAACTGAAGTGAACAATTGGTAAACAAATAAGGTAGCTAATTGTGCACATAGTAAGAATTTACAAACAGTTCCACAAACAGCCATGAAGTGAATGATGATATGCATCTTACACTGAGGGGGGGGGAGGGGGGAGAGAGAGAGCGAGAGAGAGGACACATGCATATATGAAACTCTTTAACATCACTGTGTAGGAGAACACCATGGCAAAGTCCCTTCTCTTTTTCTAATGCATCATGCAACTCTGGGATCTTTAAAGTACATGTAAACAGGGGAAGGGACCTTGATTTAATGTCTCGTCTGACAAGACAATGCTGAACTCTCCCAGTAATAAACTGAAGTGTCAGCCTGGCGGACAATGACGTGGAAATACACCAAGGAGGGGGAAAAAAGATGTCTTTTTATATATAAAATATTAAAGAACAAGCATGTCGATGGAGGATAAAAAGATATTGCACAAGGGATAAAACAAAAAAAAGTAGCCAAATAAACTCAACATTTTACAAATAAGTACAGTAATTCTTGCATCCCAATATTTAGGAACAAAATGCACTTAACTTAATGGATTTTAATATAGTTTACAGTATTTTAAACAGGAACGATACGGCGTACATAAATATGTGAAAAGGTTACAAGAAAAATGTTTTTAAAACAAACTGAATAAATATTTACTGTAAAACGTTTGCTCAAACGTGTGTTTACATGTGTTCGTTCCATTGACTGAATATACAATACACATGAAATGCTTTGGTAAAACTCATCAACTGAAGGCTACAAAGTGTGGTCAATGCCAACAAGTCCGAGGCCCTCCTAATTGGCTCCCGTCAAGCACTCCGGGACGCTACCCCACGTGAAGGATGCTATATAAATGCAAGTTGTTGTTGTCATCAGCGCCTCCACACCTCAAGCACCAGCGGAATCACCATCCATGAATGCACACTCCACCTCCCCGAGCCAGTCCGGAACCTCAGCTACTTGTTTGACCCTCAATTAACCAACCCTTTGGGACGTCCTCCCGCCGTGAAAAATGTAATTTGTTGTTGTTGTGGAACATCAGCCACATAGAGAAGAATGCGGGTCACACAGCCCCTGCAGACTGACCTTCAGTGAACTTGAGGGAATGCTCGACACTGCTGTCAGGCAATACGCCCTGAAACTCTGGAACACTCTCCCTCTATCCCTCCGTCTTGCCCCTTCCTGCCTTCCCCATTTTCAGGTCACGCCTGAAGACCTTTCTCTTCGACCGTGTCTACGGTCGCCTCTCCCCAGCTTGGCGTCCTGCTCTGCCACTGTCTAGCGCTGTGTGTGTGTGTGTATTGGGGGGGGGGCTGTGTAAATGCAAGTTATTGTTGTCATGTTAGATACATCTGTCTTTCAAAGTCAGCAAAAAAAAATTTGAAGAAACGTCCTCTTTATAATTTGACTTTTGCACACAACACGTTACAGATTATAGGTGTTTGCATCAAGGTCATTACGACTGTATTAATTATCGCGGCCAGCAGTCTTCAGTAATTACCTTACTCGTTCCTGCCTACATCCCCTGTCCCAATTAATGCAATTACACAGCTTTTAGAGATGTGTTCGCGCTAATATGGATTTTCCTTGTCTAATCATGACAAGTGCAATCACAGTTAATTTAGGGAATTAATAAGCAGGTAATCTTCGTGTCCAAGGAAATACAGATATGAGGATTTGCTTGCTTGCTGAAAGATACTAATCACAAAGACATTACTTCTTGCATACCAAAACTGATGACTGAAAAAACAGCTCGAAGGAAGCACAACGGGGAGGGGGAGATATAAAACCTGGGCCTTTTCTTGAGAACTAGAGAACGAAAGCAGCAAAGCAAGTAAAACCGCAAATATTGTTTGCAAATGTGAATAGGAAGGCTTAGTACGGGAGGGGACCAAATAATAATTTGGTCACTCAATCCACGACTGTTTGTGGGACACTGCTGTGCGCAATTGGCTGCTGCGTTTCTTCCACAAAATACGCAGTCACACGTCACGGTCTATTCTATTCTCGAAGACGTGATAAGGCGCTGTGTCAAATGTCAGGAATATTATTGTTTTAGACAGACAGACACGAACGCCTTTGTTTTATTCCCCTTCTCTCGGCTCTCAGCTGTTTCAGGGTTTCTAGGTTTTTTTAAAGAAAATATAAGGGAAAAAAAACTCGTACATTATATTCTGACTCCCCCCCCCCCCCCCCCCCCCACCCACCCCCAGCTTTCCCTTGGGCCTCAAGGATTCCGAGCAAACCTTTCTGTGGGTGTGGGTGTGGGGGGGGGGGGGGGGTTGTGTGTGGGTGGGTGTGTGGGGGTGTGAGTGTGTGTGTGGGGGTGTGTGTGTGTGTGTGGGGGGGTGTGTGTGTGGGGGTGTGTGTGTGTGTGTGGGGGGTGTGTGTGGGGGTGGGGGGGGTGTGTGTGGGGGTGGGGGGGGGGTGTGTGGGGGTGGGGGTGGGGGTGGTGTGTGTGTGTGGGGTGTGAGTGTGTGTGTGGGGGGTGTGTGTGTGGGGGTGTGAGTGTGTGTGTGGGGGGGTGTGTGTGTGGGGGTGTGAGTGTGTGTGTGGGGGTGTGTGTGGGGGTGTGTGTGTGGGGGGTGTGGGGGGGGGGGGTGTGGTGTGTGTGTGTGTGGGGGGGGGTGTGCTGTGTGGGGGGGTGTGGGGGGGTGTGTGTGGGGTGTGTGGGTGTGTGTGTGGGGGGGGGGGTGGGGGTGTGTGTGTGGGGTGTGTGGGGTGTGTGTGTGGGGGGGTGTGGGGGGTGGGGGTGTGTGTGTGTGTGTGTGGGTGTGTGGGGGTGGTGTGGGGGGTGTGTGGTTGTGGGTGGGGTGTGTGGGGGGGGGGTGGGGGTGCAGTGAGGACAGGGGGGAGGGGAGGGAATAGAGCCCCAGTCCCGGGGGGGGGGGGGGGCAGTGTTTGCTGAGGATGGTGACGGGTTTGAAGCGGACACTGGTGAGGTTTCCATGAGGCGACAACAATATCTATATGTATTTTATACCAATAAATATATCTGTTGTTAAATAAAAAGTGTGTGTGTGTGTGTGTGTGTGGGGCGGAGGGGGAGAGAGATAGAGAGAGACACAGAGAGATGGAGAGGAGAGAGAGATGGAGTTGGTTGGTGTGGGGGAGGGCGGGATGGACAGAGTGTGAGAGAGAGAGAGAGAGAGAGAGCGTTACTGACCGCGACACCCGGTGAGAGCGACGCCATGACACCCCGTCCGCCCCCTCGGAAGTGACGCACTGTAACCCGGAAACACAAAGGCCCAGAGAGCAGCGGCGGCGGTTGAGGAAATGGTTTACGTGTCGAACGGTCAGTGTCCCCCCGGAGGGTGGGGTGGAGGGGCTCTGTGTGGGGGGTCTCTGTGTGTGTGGAGGGGCTCTGTGTGTGGGGGTCTCTGTGTGTGTGGGGGGGGGGTGGAGGGGCTCTGTGTGGGGGTCTCTATGTGTGTGGGGGGTCTCTGTGTGTGTGTGGGGGGTGGGGTGGAGGGGCTCTGTGTGGGGGGTCTCTGTGTGGGGGTGGGGGGGCTCTGTGTGGGTGGGGGTGGGGTGGAGGGGCTCTGTGTGGGGGGTCTCTGTGTGTGTGGAGGGGCTCTGTGTGGGGGTCTCTGTGTGTGTGTGGGTGGGGTGGAGGGGCTCTGTGTGGGGGGTCTCTGTGTGTGTGGGGGGTGGGGTGGAGGGCTCTGTGTGGGGGGTCTCTGTGTGTGTGGGGGGGGGGTGGGGTGGAGGGGCTCTGTGTGGGGGGTCTCTGTGTGTGTGGGGGGGGGGTGGGGTGGAGGGGCTCTGTGTGGGGGGGTCTCTGTGTGTGGTGGGGGGTGGGGGGGCTCTGTGTGTGTGGGGGGGGGGTGGGGTGGAGGGGCTCTGTGTGGGGGGGTCTCTGTGGTGTGTGTGTGGGGGGGGGTGGAGGGGCTCTGTGTGTATCTGTTCTTGCACTATTATTAATAACAATAATAATAATCCGCGGCGCAGAGGCCGTCTCAGAAGCGCTTCACGAGTGTACGCGCTGTCGTGTCGAGTGTAGTGACTGCGCGCGGTGTGTTTTGGGGGACCAGCGGCGACGTCCGTCCTCTCCCCCATCCCCCCTCCCCCCCCACCACCCACCACCCACCACCCCGCCCGCACGAACCAGCCGTGGGTTGAAGTGACTGTAACGTTTGCGGTGGGCGGAGGGGGGGGGAAGACCTTCCTCTGTGCGAGTGGCGATCGGCCGACGCAAACGCCTACAGCTATACAGTCGAAACAAATCGCAGAATCTTTCGAGCCGAGCGCGGAAATCGCAGGCGCGGCGCCCGTGAAAGAACACGCGGCCGGTCGTTCGCCAAACCGTTCGCTAACGGATTATGTATTGAGTGGGTAACGAGCGAAATGGAGTAGACACGACGTGGATTGTAACTTCTGTTTTGTAGGACAGGTTCTGGGCAGCAGAGGGCAAGCTCCATGGAGATTGTCGTCGATCGTTCAGATGTTTTGGGGAATAGTGGAGTTCATTCGTTACTTGTGAGTTTTGATATTCCTCCCCACCCCCTCACACTCGCTCAGGAATTTATTTTTTTTGGGGGGGGGGGGGAAGGGGTTGAAGCATCGCCTCAAATAAAGCCAATTAATTCTGGTCCCTGATAAGTTGGACGCCAATCTTTTTTGACTCCCAATTCTAACGCCTGTGTTCTTTCGTTTAGCTTCCAGACGATGATCAACCCCACTGGGGCCGATCATAGGACCACAGGGAGTGTGTCATCCTGGGGCCGGCCCGACGATGGAAGAGGGTAATTCTATACCGAGAAACTTCATTGGGGATTTTCAGTGAAAATATCTTCTCCAATTTTTTTTGAATGTAACGCAGCGTAACTAATATCGTACCGTGTAAAAGTTACTTGTATTATATTTCGACCATATTCTCTACGCGAATTGCCTTCATCCCGGTTCATTTAGAGTTTTTATTGAGTGAGACTATTTCATGTTTTCATAACAGCCCTCCAGGGGTTCCACGAAGAAGAATGGGTCGAATAAATAATGGCAAAGGTGGTCCACCTCCTCCCCCCATGTCAGGTGGATGAGGAAGGTAAGATATGGAGTCTCGGAGAGAATTCACATGTTCAGGTGGTGGGAGGTGGGGACCTTTAATATTTTGGGGGTAACTAATGCAGTGAATATCATCTGAAGCCCACTAGGCAATATCATATGGTACAGTGGCTTAAATCAATGCATTTGTGTGACTATTCGGTAGCTCTTTCAAAGAGCCGGCACAGGCACTATAGGCCGAATGGCCTCCTTCTGTGCTGCAGGATTCTATGATACTGTATAACGAGCGACTCACATTTTCGAAATCTTCTCTGCAGGTAAACGCCTGCTTTTAAAGCGGGCGTCCAGGCACATTCACGAGGAGGTTGGTAACTGAGAGGTTGGAAAGACCAGATGTATTCGTGATGATGGTGATGTGAACATGCCTGTCCATCTGCAAGAGTTGCGCTGTGTTAAATACACAGATTAATGAAGTTGTGCTGGGAAAACCTGAATGTAAAGGTGCCGGTACAATGGAGAGGCAACTGTTACAGTATCTTGTCTTTAATAAAATTGACTGTTGGACCATTCCTTTCTATAAATGATATTTAAGAACATAGGAATTTGCCAGGCCAAAGAAGACCAAGGTCCATCTAGTTCGCCTTCCACCGTCCTGGCAGTCGCTTGACCAGCCGTGTCCCAAACTATATATATACACTGTCCTATCTATCCCGTGATTACTATTTTCTAGCAGAAATCTATCTTCTTGGAAACACATGCTACTTTCAGTTTCCATCATCTCCCGTCAAAAACATTGCATTCCCACTGTAAACTTGAGCTTTTATTTTTTAAGTTTGACTCGTGAAGCGTTTAAGAATGTTTAGCTTTCAAGAGCAGTGAATCAGCGCTGCACATAAGTGCAGTAGATACTGTACTTGTTCCCACTCACTCTTAGTAGCTGGGAGATTAACAAGAGACCAGGCAGTGATGTCCCTTCTTTGACGAGAGCAGCTGTTGTGACCTGGGAGGACTTGTTTGTTAGGAGGAAAAAAAGAGCGGGAAATAAAGGGATTTCAGTTTAGATTTGGGTAGTTATATTTTTCAAAACGGGGAAAACAAAAGTCCTTTAAATGCAAGTGAATGAGTTAGTAATACCTGCTCCCGTTGAATCAATAGAACTGGAATCACGCTAATGTTTAAATACCTATTATTATTATTGTTGCGCGTTGTCATTTTAAAGTAATTTATTGTAATACAAAACTGCAATAGTATTGAAAGATTAAAAAAAAAAGTCCTATCTATTTATTTCACTGCATCCATTTTCCGTGGTGTATTATTCTACATTAGTGAATTGTCAGCTCAGCCTGTTGGGAGGTTCGTGTTGCACCAATTAGTTTGTTTTCTAAAATTATGTATTTGAATTCTTTTTAAGTCAACATTCCTCTTGCCCCCACCCTTTGGAACTTCATCCCACAGTCCCTTCACCTCGTACTCTCTCCCTTGTCTCCTTCGAGGCACATCTCCAGGCCCTCCTCGTCGACCGTGCCTTCAATCAAACCCCTGCCCTCCACCCCTTCTGATCCAACCCCCAGCTCAGGTCCAACTCCCTGACTGTCCTGCTCCTTGGGACGTCCTTCCGTCGTGAAATGTAAATGTAATTTGTTGTTTAAAATGTTTTTAGCCACTATTGTTATGTAATAAACTGGGCTAGGTCAAAGCTTGTGTGGGCTGGGTATCATATCCTGGGTGAGTATTGCGAGGGCAGCTCTAGATTCTCTCCTTATGTTTTGCTGCACTTCAAAAGTTTAATTGTTAATTCAGAATACACAGCCATCTGTTTACGGCAATATGTTTCAAAAAATACGCTAATTGATTAGAGGAAGTTAATAAATATCCTTTTTACAGTTGCCCTTTTTTTAAAAAAAAACCTGTAAAGCCTAGAGGTGGGAAACTCATCTATTCTACAAAGTGATCTGTAAATGTGACTAGTGTTCGACTTTAGTGATATTAAAACACCTTTCTGTGCCATTATTGTACACTTATTTCATTTTTTTTTCCCTGAAGCAAATTTCAGCCAGTAACCATATCAATTACAGTTCCATACAGACACAGACCGTAGTGTATAAGAACGTAACACCTAATAATCATCAATGCAACTGATGAAAGTAATCCATTTCAAACCGTTCATACACTGCAACTGTCAGCAAGTTCGCTTGTGTAAAGATTTCCCCCTTATTTTTGTCCCACATTATTGTCAGGAGCAAATAGCTGTCTGAACAAGCGTATCATGTGGCAGTATGTTTTTAGCACTGATTTCTCCAATGTGCCAATAGCAAATAAAATTCACTTTGTGTTTATAAATCCTCTTTTATAGGTTACTGTTCTTAATGTTTAACATTAGCCCATTGTAAATCCAAGGTGAATGCTTTCCGCTGCCCCTTTCTCCCATGCACCGGGCGTCTTGAAGGTCAGACAAGCGGTCTACATGTAGGCGACGTTCTTATAAAACCAGCTAAGAGGTTGGGAGATTGGTTTGCGGTCGAGCATTTAATAAATTGGTGCAAGACCAAGGAAAGGGATGCAGGAGGAGATCAAAGATCCACATGCGTTCTGTCTTGAGCGTTGGTTAAAAAAAAAAATTCTCCTTACTGCACAAATCGTGTTGTCACGTTGCCGGTATAGGGAAAAAATAAAGTATAAAAAAAAATGTATTTTAGACGCACAGTTTCCGTGCAGTCACATTGCATCGGTCAGTCAAGCACGACGACTTGGGATCGTTGATTTAAATAATTAATTGTTATTTCAAGGACGGGCTTTGTAATGGGTTGCGCCGATTTGTATGAATTGTTCGTCTCCTGACTCGTGGTGAATTACCGTGACGTAACGCGGCTGTGAGCTCTGTGCCTCAGCTGTTCTGGGCGAAGAAGTTCCCATTCACCCGCGGAAGCTGACGTCGGGCAAGACCACCGGGGAAACCTGAACGTGCCGCACCGGGCGAGGGAAATGCTCAGCCCGCGCAAAGCCACCAGGTCTGACCAAGACGCCCACCTCGTCTGTAGGCGGACGCAGCGGCCGACTTGTGGGCAGCGATGACCCACACGCAATGGAACGACTTGTTCCTGTCTGTCCGGTCCGGGCAAGCGTTGGCCAGGACACCGAGGGAGAAGCGGCTCTTCCCGAATAGCGACTTGGGAACTTCTAACACCCGGGACCTCGGTTTAAAAATCTCACCCGATGGGCAGCACATCCGAGAACAACACAATGCTACCCCCGCCCACAAAACACACAGTCACTACACTTTACAGCGTATCCCGTGAAGCGCTTTGAGACGTCTCGGAGATGTGATGAGGCGCCGGGTCAACTACAATTAATATTATTGTTATTCTTGTCATTAATATTACTATTATTCTTGTCATTAATATTACTATTATTGTTATTAATACTATTGTCAATATTAATTGTATTATTAATATTATGACAATTAATATTGTTAATATTATTGACATTAATATTATTGTTGTCATTAATATTACTATTGATATAATTATTGACATTAATGTTATTGTTGACATTAATATTATTGATATTAATGTTATTGATATTAATGTTATTATTGACATTAATGTTAGTGTTATTGACATTAATGTCATTAATGTTATAGATGTTATTGTTGTTATTGTTCTTATTGTTGTTATTGATGTTGTTGTTGTTATTGATGTTATTGATGTTATTGTTGTTATGTTATTGATGTTATTGTTGTTATGTTATTGATGTTATTGTTATTGTTGTTATTGTTGTTGTTGTTGTTGTTGTTATTGTTGTTGTTGATGTTGTTGTCATTGTTGTTGATGTTATTGATGTTATTGTTGTTATGTTATTGTTGTTATTGTTATGTTATTGTTGTTGTTGTTATTGATGTTATTGTTGTTATTGTTGTTGTTATTGATGTTATTGATGTTATTGATGTTATTGTTGTAATGTTATTGATGTTATTGATGTTATTGTTGTAATGTTATTGTTGTTATTGTTGTTATTGATGTTATTGTTGTTATTGTTGTTGTTGATGTTGTTGTTGATGTTATTGTTGTTGTTGTTGTTGTTGTTGTTGTTGATGTTATTATGAGGGTCTGTAGTCCCTGTTGAGCAGTCAGTGCAGTAGCGGCGGGTGTCCGGGTGGGGGCAGTGCTCAGTGTGAGCAGCAGCGCCTCCCTCCCACCTCAGGCGGCCGCAGGTGGTGCACCGCTCGGAGCCAACCCACAGCGCCGCCCGGAGTCCCCCCGCGGGAGTGCGGCGGCCCGCGGGCCGGCCGGAGCCTCCCCCCCCCCCCCACCCCCCCACCGTCAGGCTGCCCGAGTGGGTGGGTGGGGCCTCAGCGCCCGCGACAGCGCCGCCCCTCCGGCGCCTGGCGGCGGTGCTGGAGGCCGAGGCGGGTTCGGACGCCATGACCCAGGCGGAGCGGGAGCGGGAGCAGGAGAACGGGAAGGAGAAGGAGCGGGAGAGGGAGAAGGAGAAGGAGAAGGAGCAGCGCGGAGTGAAGAGGCCGATCGTCCCGGCGGCCATCCCGGACTCCCCGCTCGAGGTCAGGTGGGGGGGGGGGGCCCGCCCGGCCCGCGGGCCACGCTCGGCCCGCGGGTCAGGGACGCTCGAGTTGCGGGGGACGGGGCAGCAGAGGGCGGGGTCCCGGAGGGGCTCTCACAGGCCCCCGCAAACCAGTCCTCCCCCCCCCCCCCCCCCGCTAGACCCGGCCCGCGGGCCACACCCGGCCCCCACGCACCAGAGAGAGAGAGAGAGAGAGAGTTTTATTGCTGTTAACCCCACAGGACATTAATGGTTGGCTTTGTTTTCATGGCACAAACTCTGTCTTCGCCCCCTCCCCCCCTCTCCCCCCCCCCCTCCTCTCCCCCCTCCTCCCCCCCCCCTCATTGGAATAAATACTACTAATAACAATCCTATAGTAATATATAGTGCAGCAGGTGCTTCACTGACACGATGGGGCACTGTGTCAAATGTAAGGATTATTATTATTATTATTCCTCACTGATTATCAGGTTGGGTGGTGGTGGTTAGCATTCACCCACAAAACACACAGTCACCACACTTTACAGTGTACCCTGTGAAGCGCATTGAGACGTCTCGACGACGTGATCAGGCGCTGTGTCAAATGCCGGGATGATGATGATGATGATGGTTGTTGTTGTTGTCGTTGTCGTTAATGGTGACTGACCGACGTCGTCATTGTATTTCTTATTGAAGCCAATCCAGAGTAACTTCATCGTGGTGATACACCCCGGCTCATCCACCCTGAGGATTGGCCGAGCTTCGGACACACTGCCGGTCAGTGTTCCCCACGTTATTGCTCGACGACACAAACAGCAGGGGCAGCCTCACCACGAAGACCCCCGGCTGCACCGAGATGGCCTCAATGTAAAGCTTTCATTCTTGTCGGTTGTCCCTTGAAACCCGAGTTAAGCCTTTCATTCTATCGGCGCCTTCCAACGTGAACAGACGTGGCGATTGCGATCATCTCCGCGTGGCGCCGGAGTCCCTGCGGCTCGGTGGTTAGGGAGCTCGCCTCGCCAGCGAGCGAGCGAGAGGACCCGGGTTCGATTCCCCGGTCAGGGCGTAACCTTAGGCGCGTTTCCTTACTCCACACACACACACACACACACGCACACACAGAGGCCTCTGTTTACCTAACGGTAATTAGAAACCCACGCGGTAGTGGATTGGCGGATCACTTTCCGGGGGTAATAATAATTGTGTGTATATATATATCATTATAATTGTTGTTGTTGTTATCCAGGCCCAGGCCCAGGCACGGAACCGTTTGTAGCCTCGCAGGGAAGTGTAAATTTTGAATTCTGCTGACGCTTTTTTTTTTCCCAAACCTCATTGCAGAAACCGGAAAGCAATGAGCAAAGGCAAAATGGACTCAAAATGGTGGATCAGGCTATTTGGTCAAAAAAGATGTCCAATGGGGCCCGGAGAATCCCTGCTCCACCAGATCAGGTACTGGATTTCCCCCCCAACCACCACCCACACCCCAACTGAGGACTTGACGAGACACACACTTTACATCGGCTTCTTTACTTCACTGCTGTCAGACATCTGCCGTCCGTACTGAGATACTAATATATTATGGATATTGTTTGCAATCAACACTACAGGAAATAGCACTTTTATCGCCCACAAAATAGCGCTCCGAGACGTCTCGAAGACGTGATGAGGCGCTGTATCAAATGCCAGGATTATTATTATTATTAATAATATTATTTTCCACTTTTCAGGTGAGGTCTTATAATAAGCAGATGAGGGCAGCAATCTTGGACCCAAGTTCGGGGCTCAAATGGACAAACACATTACATCACCCTGAGTTTCTCATAGGAGACGAGGTAAATCTTTTGTTTAACATCAAACACTCCCCAAGTCAAGCGGGTTAGAGATTAGAGCTCTCTGTTCACTGACCGTCAAAGATCAGGTCTAATATCAATCTCTTTTCCCCACAGGCTCTGTATGTAAATCCTTCTGACAGCTATAATATACACTGGCCCGTTCGGAGGGGTCAGTTGAACCTTCATGTCGGACCTGGAGGTTCTCTCACTGCAGTGATGGCTGATCTTGAGGCTATCTGGACACAAGCCATACAGAAGTTCCTAGAAATTCCACGGAAAGACTTAAAGGTTAGCGATTTTAGATTCGCCTGATTTCTGGGGTAGAGCACTCGCCTCTCACACGAGAGGACCCGGGTTCGATCCAATTGCAAGGATTATTATTATTTTAGTAAATGCATTGATTTTTTGTTATTCAGAAAGCGAAACAAATCTGTCATCTTGCAATGTTATTTCATTCTTCATATCTTATCCAATGTTTTATTCGACCTGAAATGGATTAATGTGAATTTTTAATGCACTGTTTGTTTTTGTTTATTCCAGTATTACAGATGTATTCTGTTAATCCCGGATATTTACAATAAACAACATGTCAAAGAGCTGATGAGCCTCCTTCTGAACAAGATCGGTTTCTCTGGTAAGTATTTGTTTGCTGGTAGTTTCATATGTGATTGTTATCTGCACACTATCTCCGTTTTACAATAATCTCATTTCTTAATAACATCAATAATGTGAGGTAAAGTTTTTGCAGTTTTATAAATTAAAAGTTTTATAAAAGCGCTATATCCAATGCAAGGATTATTATTATTATTAGTCCTCGCATTTGATATAACGCCTTAGCACGTGGAGTCCTGTAGCTCAGTGGTTAGAGCACTCGCTTTGCAAGCGAGACACCTGGGTCCAATTCCAGGCAGAGGGCGAAACCTTGGCCAAGTTTCCTTAATCCACACACCTAATAATAATCCCTCAAAACAAAACAATAATAAATTGGTCATTTTCAATCCATGACTATTTGTGGGACATTGCTGTGCGCAATTGGCTGCCGCGTTTCGCCCACAAATATACAGTCAATTCACTTTACAGTCTATTCTGTGAAGCGTTTTGAGACTTCGAGAAGAAGCGAAAAGCGCTATATCAAATGCAAGGATTATTATTATATTATCACGTCTTCAAGATGTCTCAAAGCGCTTCACAGGATATTCGCAGGATATACCGTAAAGTGTAGTGACAGTATATTTTTGTATACTTTACAGGTGTACTTGTCCATCAGGAGTCTATCTGTGCCACCTTTGGAAGTGGCTTAAGCAGTGCCTGTGTGGTGGATGTAGGTGACCAGAAGACAAGTGTGTGCTGTGTGGAGGATGGAGTTTCCCATCGAAACACCAGGTCAGGTAGATGTTCCCTCTTTAATAGTAGATGGCACGGAGCATTATTTGATCTTTCCTCTCTATACTGATTGCAGCAAAGTGATGGATGTTGGTCCCAGAAGATAAGCACAGGATAAACTAGTGCTGTTTTAGCGTTTGGTTTAAAGCACTCCGATTAATAAAGACTGATTTTTTTTTTCTTGATAGTTCACACACAGTATTAATGCTTTAAGACACACTCCGCCATTAGCCTACATGTGGAGTCCTGTAGCTCGGGGGTCAGAGCGCTCCCCTTGCGAGCGAGAGAACCTGGGTTAGATTCCGGGGCAGAGCAAAACGTTAGGCCAGTTTCCTTACTCCGCGCACACCCGGCTGCTTACCCTGCAGAGTGTGGGACAGACTGTTGGTTGAAGCAAAAATTAAGAATGTATTTGAGTGGAAACTTGATGTATACGTGAGGGAGAAGTGAATCGAGGGGCACAGGAGAGGGAAGTACAGGAGTGGAGTACAAATCTGGGCACAGACTAGTCGGGATGAATGGCCTGTTCATGTGCACTAACGTTCTACGTAATATACTTTAATGAATTGTTTGCGCCCACAGACTGTGTTTAGCTTACGGTGGTTCTGACGTGACCAGATGCTTCTTCTGGCTGATGCAGCGGTCTGGATTCCCCTATAGAGATTGCCAGCTGTTCAACCGAATGGACTGTTTGCTTCTCCAACAGCTTAAAGAGACGTTCTGCCATCTAGACCAGGTATTCCGTGTGCTGGAGAAACCCAGAGAGGGAAAAGGTCCACGAAAACAAACCGGTGCTTAGACAGGGGAAACCCCATTGATAAAGCACTGCTTCACGTAGAGTAGGCTGGTCCTACGAATAGCACTGATACTAAATGTTTGCCTATAAATACGGTCACTACACTTTAAGTACATTATGCGAAGCGCTTTGAGCTTTCGACGACGCGATTGATAAGGCATTCTGTCGAATTATTATATTTAAGTACAGGCACTATAATGTTTGTGTGTTTGCCTCAGTTCCCAATAGGATTGTTCTTCACTCTGCATATACCGTATGTTTTACTCTTTCCCTGTTTATACTTGATTATAAATTCTGAAGGTTTCCCTTTTGTGGAACAGGATATCTCCGGGATCCGGGATCATGAGTTCAAGATTCGACGCCCGGATTCTCCAGTTTTACTTTACCAGCTGCGACAAGGAGATGAGAAACTACAGGTGATTGAAATAGCATTGCCTAAACTTAACTTTGTTTTGGGTTAGAGCACTCGCCTCGTAATCCAAGTCGGATGTCTAAATCCAACAGGAGAGGAGAGGAAAGGGGCATTATGTGGAGTCCTGTAGCTCGGTGGTTAGAGCCTCGCAAGCAAGGGGACCTGGGTTCAATTCCCGGTTGGGGCGAAACCTTAGGGCAAGTTTGCTTATTCCACACACATGCCTCTGTTTAATGAGAAGTGAGTAGGAACCCAGTTGTTAGTCGATTGGCGGATCCCTTTCCAGGGGTAATAATCCCTTCACTCCTGTACCAGGCACCAATGGCCTTGTTTTATCCAGCTACATTTGGAATTGTGGGCCAGAAGATCACCTCATTACAACACAGGACTCAGGGCGATTCCGAGGATCCCCATGACGAACATTACCTGGTGGCCACTCAGAGTAAGCAAGAACAGGTGAGAATTACAGGTTTGTTTCAGCCTCTCTGCCCCCACCCTCTGGAATTCCGTTCCTCAGTCCCTGCGCCTCGCTCCCTCCCTCGCCTCCTTCAAGGCACGTCTCAAGATTGTCCTCTTAGACCGCGCCTTCTGCCACCTTTCCTACCCCTTCCCTCCCCGCCCTCCACCCCTCCTGATCCCAACCCCCAACTCACGTCCAAATCCCTGACTGTCCAGCGCCTTGGGACGTCCTCCTGACGTGAAAGGCACTGTGTAAATGTCATTTGCTGTTGTTTTTCTATAACAGGACGATTGTGATCAACTACAAACCTGAGCAATATTAGATATTTCCCGGCTTCGTTTTATTTTCTTAATTCAAAGTCTAGTGTAGCACAGAATGGCTTTTCTTAGGTTAAGGGTTCAAAGAAACCCTTCACTTTGAATTTCACCTTGCTACACATGAGCTGGTAATACCAGGTGAGTGACAGACACAAGGCAGTGTCCTGTTCTATAGCACTGCATCGATTCATTTGATAATTAAAACATTCACCAAAGAAATAGAAAACAGTGCTATCCCTGTGATGTACTGACAGCAGTTTAATTAGCTGTCAGATTTTACAGATTAACAATAAGAGCAACTGCATTTCTTGGTTAGCTGCAAATATACTTTGGAAAATTGAACTTGGACGAAGATGGCAACATAGGAACGGGAGGAGGCCATTCAGCCCCTCGAGCCTGTTCTGCCATTCTATAAGATTCCCGACGTGAAAAGCACTATATCAAATGCAAGGATTATTATTATTATTATCGTGGTTGATCTGTACCTCAAATCCAATTACCTGCCCTCGTCCCATATCCATCCCTTGATCCCCGACCTAACAAATATCTATCTGCCTCCGTCTTGGAAAACGTGAATGGATCCAGCATCCAAGGTCATATCAATCGCTTTTTTACGGTTTCCTTCTTGCGATAAGGTTTAATAACGATTGGTCTGCATCGCTGTTTATAATTGTTTATAGGCTGCCAAAGCCATCGCTGAGAAGAAGGCATTGGCGAAGTACGCTGGCTACGACACGGAGTCAGGGACTCAGAATTCCGACACGGGAGAAAAGTGTCATTCCCACGAGCTGGAACTGGGAGCCTCTCAGCACGACTGCCTCCTGCCAGGAAACGATTGCGAGGACCTGCCAGCAGCTCTGATGGCGAGAAAAACAACCGTCTCGCAATTTGAAGGGAAGGCTTTGGGGCTTGACAAGTCGATACTGCACAGTATTGATTGCTGTGGTGAGAACAACTAAGCAATGTTACCGCGTGCCATATATTTCCAGGCAGAGAGTTGGTTCAGGCTGCTGCATTTACCCTCAGGGTGATCGTGATTGATTTCCTCGTCTGTCCAGGTGGTTCCTGGAGTGAAACCAAAGAATAAGTTTCTGAGGTCATCTCTGCTTGTGCTCATTTGGAGAATCGTGCATGAATCTAATAATATAGCTGTGCCTGTGCTTTGAACACTATCGTCCCCTCCGCTTTCATCATCAGCCAGTATGCCCCAAAACTCTCCCTCAATCCCTCCACCTTGCTCCCTCCCTCCCTCCCTCCCCACTTTCAAATCCTGCCTAAAGATCTTCCTTTCTGATTGTTCTTACGGTCAACTCCCCGCCCTCTCCCTCCCTCTCACTCCTGGTTCTGGGTCAGACTCTGCCACGGTCAAGTACCCCTCCCCACCAGGGACGCTACCGTGTGTGAAGGACGCTGTGTAGACACAAGTTGTAGCTGTTGTTTTATAAATTTAGGAAGCTGTGGCTGAAGATTTGTGTAACTGAAACGTAGGGTTTCTTTTTCCACGAGGGGGATTGTAGCTGTTTTCGTTACAAAAAGACAAGCGTAAGGAAACTTCATTTGAATTGATTCCACCCTAAATAAAAAAAAGCACTTTGGCCTTACATCGGGGAAGAAATATCGGGACTTCATGCACTTGTTGGTTGTACTTGGTTTCAGCTTCTGACGAGACCAAAAAGAAAATGTACAGCTCCATCCTGGTGGTTGGAGGGGGGCTGATGTTCCACGGAGCTCAGGAGTTTTTGCAGCACAGAATCCTAAACAAGATGCCGCCCTCGTTCAGAAGAATAGTGGAGAATGTTGAAGTTATTACAAGACCTAAGGTAAAGCCCAAATTGGCTCGTTTCCCCTACATGGGCTGAAGAGTCCTTTATACCGCACATCTTTTCATTTTGTTTCCTTCACTCCCCCCCACCCCCATCCCCATCCCCACTCCGCAAACTTCTGCTCCTTTAAAGATGTATTAATAATAATTTGTACATTTACACTTTTCGGTTTATTTTCTCCCGCCAAAAGCGTTACGTACTCAGGACTCCAGTAATGAGCATCGTTTCAGCGGCTTGGGAACGTCCTCCCGAAGTGAAGGGCGCTTTACAAATGTAATTTTGCTGTTGTTGTTTGAACGCTGTAAAAATCTTCTTCATAAATATATTTATAAAATGCATCACATACACTCAAAGATTATGTGCATTACCGTAGAGAGCTCCGTAGTATCCATATAATCCCCTGAAAATACACTTGAAAGATGAGGACTTTGTAAAACGCCCCATTTGAAATCTGTCTTGGCTATTTGCCTCCTTGCTGCGTGATATTGCTGTGGCCACAGATAAGCTTTTATGCCTTTAACGGCGAAGCCAACACGTGCTTTGATGTATTTTGATGTGGTTGAGCAATCGTGTAACATTACAGGGCGTATTATTTTATCACCAGGACATGGATCCACGTTTAATAGCCTGGAAAGGTGGTGCCGTGCTCGCCTGTCTGGATACAACACAAGAACTGTGGATACACCAGCGGGAATGGCAACGCTTTGGGGTCCGCATGTTACGGGAGAGAGCTCCGTTCGTCTGGTGAAAAGTCTCGTTTCCCCCAGAATGAGTGTTGGGAAATATCTCCCGAGCCTCACTCACGGAAGCTTTCATATCACATAGCCTTTTTGTAAACTGTTTTTCCTCAATGTCCTATCACAATATTTTTCTGCTCGTATAAGTAGTAACAACTAATAACCCTTACATTTGGATATAGCGCCTTATCACGTCTTCGAGACGTCTCAATAGCTTCACAGGACATACTGTAAAGTGAATTGACTGTATATATTTGTGGGCCAAATGCCCTCTGGTAATAATTAACAAAGCTATAATAACTGATAAATAGTTTATTGTCTGTACAGTATCATGGGATATGAAAAGGAAACATATAAACAGTTAGTGTTTGGTGCAAAGCCAGACTCCAAGTGAGACAAACACAACTGTGGATGTAGATGTTATGTATTTTTGGTTGTAATTAAAGTTTCCCCTTGCTCTGATTACAAATGTGAGCCAGTCTCCAAGGCACCCCACAGAATGATGCTGTTAGCTGATCTCATCTACTGTGCTAGCTTTACAGTCAGCCTCAATGTGTCCTGATATGGAAGAGAAAAATTAGCTGGTTTAAATGCTCCTAAAGGCTGGCTGGGATGCTTAGTGGATTGTGAGTGTGTGTGTGCGCAGAGATAGCAGGTAATGACATGAATGGAATTGGCTGAATGCCTCCTCTACTTCACTAGATATCACATCTTGTCTGGGCACACACATACAACAACAACAACAAAAACTTGCACTTATATAGCACTCTCCACCCAAGGTGTCGTCTCAGAGCGCTTATACCAGAGACCAGAGGACAACACGTACAGGACAAACTGTTATAACAACGGTCTGGGTCCAAATCTTTAAACAAACTTCAGGATTTCAACTGACCGCCATGTTACAGAAGAGCGAGAGACAACATTTCACAACATTCTTGGATCTGTTTGCGTTCAGGTTTGCTGTTCTTTGAGGTTATTTAATAATTGTTTGCCTCAAACATTGACATCCCAGAACAATCTTGTGTGTTCAGCTCGACCTTCCAAAACGGTCATTCCAACAGCAATGAATCCACCAGAACAGATTTCCCCCTAATATAGACTTGCATGCTTCCCTCTCTCCAATACCCCCCCAGCAGTATTCCCTGCGCATCTGTTTCTGCTGATTACTCGTGTGGGCAGGAGTTCTGTTTGGAGCAGTCCTACAGGGGTTGTTGCTGTCTCGGATCTGTGCCAGCTCCAGCCTCCATTCACAGGCACCACAGAACCTCTTTAAGGTGCTGACACTACGCAGATGCTTGAGGGGAATGTCTCGAGGAGCTTGAGAACAATTTTGCTCTTATTTGATATACCGTGTTCCTAGAAACACGAGCAATCGGATATTTACCGTCGGTGAAATAATCACCTTGAACTTTTCTGAGACGGGAAATCATAAAAATAAATGGATATTTTATAATTGGGTGTTGGGTTTGAGGAAGAGGGTTTTTTAACACATAATCAGTGCAGTGTTTTCAAAGGAAGGAGTAGGGCATTGTCGATAACATATTCAGTTGTTCCTGAATCAGAATTAAACTTTTATGCATTGCTGATGGACAGGTAGAACAGGCTTGATAACAACAACAACAACAACAACTTGCATTTATATAGCGCCCCTTCACGTAGGGTAACCTCCCAGAGCATTTGATAGGCTGAATGCCCTCCTTCAGTGTCTGTTATCCTATAATTTTATAATAGAGAAAAGAAGGAAACCGCTTCAGTCAAATCTAGCGTTGACTTTAATTTGAAGGGAACGAGCCAACTCGTTCATTTTTTCTGTCACTCTCTCAGCCAACGTTTTGACTTATTTATTGCTTTGAAAGAATTGCTAGCGAAGTTGTGATGTCTGCACCACTGAATCCTGATGAACCCGCGGCTAAATCACCAGGAAATTTTCTTTGGATAAGCAATTCCGTAAATTCCAGGGACTGAAGGAAAAGGATTCCGCTCAGCAACTCGGCAAATTCACGTAAACAAAGCACAAAATGGTCGATATGTTTTACAGACCTTGGCAGAATAACGTTTGCAAATAATAATTAGGTCACTCAATCCCCGGCTGTTTGTGGGGACGCTGCTGTGCGCAATTGGCTGCCGTGTTTCGCCCACAAAAAATACACAGTCGATTCCCTTTACAGTGTATCCCGTGAAGCGCTTTGAGACGTCTCGAAGACGCGATGAGGCGCTGCGTCAAATGCCGGGATTTTTATAATAATTGGGACTTTCTTCGAGACAATTAATCATTCAAGAAATAACACGGCTCCCAAATATTATCTTCAACTCAAAATTATGTGCTCCGTGTTTTTTTTTCATTCCGTTTCATTTTCAGGCAGGTTTTCAATGGCTTTACTTCTGCTCCTTGCAATACTTATTTTTTCTCTGATATTAATTTTAATACCAGTAGAAGGTGCTGTTGGTACATAATCTGTCCCCGAGCAACTGTTTGTAACTTGAATAATATAGATCATAGTCCAATCGAATACCACTGACTTCCACCTGGGATGCTGTGCTGGTGCAAATGCTGGATTAGAAGGGTTTTTATTCAGGAAGTTGTTATGAAAATATAATACTAATCCTCGCATTTGATATAGCATTTATCCCGTTGTTCAAAGCGCTTCACGTAATATATTGTAAAGTGCAGTGACTGTATATTTTGTGGACAAAACGCGGCAGCACCCAGCGGTGTCCCGCAAACAGCCGTGGATTGAGTGACCAAATTATTATTATTTTCCCTTATTAAAAGCTTATCACGTACTCGAGATGATTTTCTACTACATTAGGTAAAATTAGCTGAGGTTTTTTTCCCTGCGTCCTCATTCAGAAGAAATCCTGAAAACCGCAATGGGACAAACAAAATCTTTGGAATCTCAAACATTGCAGAAGTAAAGTCCCCGAAGAGGAGAGAGAAGTGTATCTCACAAACTTTGTTTGTTTACAAACATTACAAAACTACCACTGTCTGGAAAGAATGCAGAATTATTCAATGAATGTCACTATGTAATGTTGGCAGTTACTCTGTGTTTCCAGTACGTGCTTTTTGTTCCCTAAGACTATGGCATCGGGAACAGTGGTTATAATACCTTATGCTGCGGGTGTCCTGACTCTTCTGATAACATTCTGTGATCTGCCTCAGTTTTAGATTCATAATGCAAACACACAATAATAATAACAATGATAGTAATAATAATAATCCTTGCCTTTGCTATAGCACTTCTGACGTCAAAATACTTCACAGGTATTTACTGAGAAGTGGATGACTCTGTTCGTAGGCAAATGCAGCAGATAATTTGTGGGCAGCAAAGTTCCACAAACTACCACGCAGTGAATCACCAATCTTATCTGAGGGATTGTTGGCCAAGACATCGGACAAAACTCCCTTCTCTTTCCAAACAGCGTCATGGGAATCTTTACCGTTCATCTAAACGGGTGTTTTAACATCTCGTCTGAAGGACGGCACCGCTGACAACACAGCGCTGCGCTGGAGCATCAGCTTAGATGGTGAGTGGGTCCTAACGTGGAGCTTGAATCAACAATTCGTCAGAGGTGAGAGTATTACCGACTGAGTCACCACAGCGACAAACCCTTGAGCTTATCATACTCTGCGGTAAAGTATGTCTTCAAACTGCTGCATTTAGACATTGAGCAATAATTTTACCACACAGACAGGAAATAAAGAGAGATGCTTTGCATTTTTTTCTCTCTGTTTATTGTGACAAGGCTCAGGAACCAGCCATGCGATGAGACACAAATTGGGGTTGAACCAAGTTTGAAACTCTGTCGCTGCGTGGGGGATGTTTGAGGGTATATAATGCACGGGTTATTATTATTAATTATTATTATTATTATTATAACCCACCTAGGGTTGAGGCAAAGATATTTTTCTTGGTAGGTAAGTTATTATCTGTGTATTAAAACTTGTTGTAAAACCTTCTACCCCCAGTCCGTTAAGATCAGTTAAACTCAGCACAATCCTCTCTGTGCCTTCGTAGACTGCATGGTCCAATTCAGCACCAGATATAATAATAATAGTCCTTGCATTTGACACAGCGCCTTATCGCGTCCTCGAGACCTTTGTCTCAAAGCGCTTCACAGAATGTACTGTAAAGTGCAGTGACTGTGTATTTTGCGGGCGAAACGCGGCGGCCGATTGGGCACGGCAGCGTTATAATAATAATAATAATAATAATAATCCTTGCATTTGATATAGCGCTTTTCACGTCGGGAGGACGTCCCAAAGCGCTTCACAGAACACACTGTAAAGTGAATTGACTGTATATTTGTGGGCGAACGCGGCAGCCAATTGCGCACAGCAATGTCCCACAAACAGTCGTAGATTGAAAATGACCAATTTATTATTGTTTTTGGTTTTGGAGGGATTATTAGGCTCTGTGTGGAGTAAGGAAACTTGCCCAAGGTTTCACCCTCTGCCTTCCCCACAAACAGCCGTGGATCGAGCGACCAAATTAGCATTAGCATTTTTATTCCTGAAGGGATAAACCTTTGGAGCCGTAAAGGAAATGTCAATTAATAGCCATTTAAAACTCAGCTCACAAATATGCAAACCCCAAATTCTCTCTCTGTGAGCAGAGACTTGTGTGTGTGTTTTAATTAAATGCCCATATTTGTAGCATTTGATTTTTGCTGTTTACGGGAGTGAGTGGTGTGTGTGTGTTTCACTGCAGCCTTCAAAGGGGAAGAAAAGGGAATAAGTGAAGATAATAGGATGGGAAAGGCAAACATCCTCTCTGAGGGGGTGAGACAACCTTTATGAATCAGGCATTTTTTTGCGATGGATCAAAGCAAATGGGGAGTGAGCTCACTCACTCACTCACTCACTCACTAAGTCACTCACTCATTCACTCACTCACTCACTCACTCACAAACTCAGTCACTCAATCACTCACTCAGTCACTCACTCAGTCACTCACTCACTCAGTCACTCACTCACTCAGTCACTCACTCACTCAGTCACTCACTCACTCACTCACTCACTCACTCACTCACTCACTCACTCACTCAGTCACTCAATCACTCACTCAGTCACTCAGTCACTCACTCAGTCACTCACTCACTCAGTCACTCACTCACTCAGTCACTCACTCACTCACTCAGTCACTCACTCACTCACTCAGTCTCAATCACTCACTCAGTCACTCACTCACTCAGTCACTCACTCATTCACTCAGTCAGTCACTCACTCAGTCACTCACTCAGTCAGTCACTCACTCAGTCACTCACTCAGTCACTCACTCAGTCACTCACTCACTCAGTCACTCACTCAGTCACTCACTCACTCACGCAGTCACTCACTCACTCACTCAGTCACTCACTCAGTCACTCAGTCACTCAGTCACTCAGTCACTCACTCAGTCACTCACTCACTCAGGCAGTCACTCACTCACTCAGTCACTCACTCAGTCACTCACTCACTCAGGCAGTCACTCACTCACTCACTCACTCAGTCACTCACTCAGTCACTCACTCACTCAGTCACTCACTCAGTCACTCACTCAGTCACTCACTCACTCACTCAGTCACTCACTCAGTCACTCACTCACTCATCAGTCACTCACTCACTCAGTCACTCACTCAGTCACTCACTCACTCACTCACTCACTCACTCACTCAGTCACTCAGGCAGTGAGGCAGGCAGTCAGCCTGACGTTATGTCTGTGAAACAAGGGGTGTGTTGTGTGCAGAAACTATAGAAACTTCTCAGCAAGAAAAGTGGGCGATTAATATATTAAATTAAACCCCGCAACGGGTGATTCGCTGTTTAACGTCGGGAAAACACGCCCTTCGCCTCCTCCCACTGATTTCGTGCTCTTAAAAATAATCTACACTGTGTGTGAGAGTGAGTGAGAGAGTCAGTGAGTGAGAGAGTGAGAGTCAGTGAGTGAGTGAGAGAGAGACTCAATGAGTGAGTGAGAGTCAGTGTCAGTGAGAGTCAGTGAGTGAGAGTGAGTGTCAGTAAGTGAGTGAGTGAGTTGAGAGCTCAAAGTATTCACTGCACAGAGTTAGTGAGTGAATGAGTCGAAATCGACAAGTGACTGTTAAATAAGTCGAAACCTTTCTCCCCCAAAACTGCTCTCCTCGACTGTGAGAATAAAAAAAAATCAAATTGAGAGGACCAAAAAGAAAAGTTTTTTTTTTAAACTTTGCTTTACTTTCCACACATATATCTGTATGTATATTATTTTGACGGCCCCCAAAAACAGCTCTGTCGGTTTGACCCACAGCCTTGGAGAGAGAGAAAAAAAGTTGCTGCATTAATATGTCCATGGATATCAACACTGGAATGCAAAAGGTAAGTGGTTTTTTTTTCTTGTAGGTGAGTTTCACTACTGTTAGGTTGTTTTGAGGGGTTTGAACAGCTATTATTTCTTCCCCCCCTCCTCCTCTCACACACACTCACACACTCACTCACACACTCACTTACACACCTTCCAATAGCTCACCTGTGATCCAGGTTGGTTTGATTTCTCTGGGAGAAATGTTTACAAAGTTTGCGGCTGTTTGTGGCGCGACGCTGCTGCGCGCAATCGGCCGCCGCGTCTCACCCGCAAAACATACCGTCAATTCACTTTACAGTATATCCTGTGAAGCGCTTTGAGACGTCTCGACGACGTGATGAAGCTCTGTGTCAAAAGCCAGGATCATTATGATCATTATTACTGCAGTCGAGGCAGCTGATTAGCTGCACTTAAAAAATGCCAATGTTTTGTTCGGGCGCTGAGTTAGTTGAGGGGCTGCACAGTGAGGCAGGAACCAGCACAGTAATAAATTAAGAACTCCTTATATCCTGTTTTCTATTGAATTGGGAGTTGGAAAGCTGTGCTTCCCATTGAACCGTTCCCAAACATAACAACAGACCGTTCAAAGGCAAGTCAAGTCAAATCTGAAAACAGAACCGCTTCTCTCTCGACTAGCGGGACCCAGGAGGTTATCAAGTGCATCTTAGTGTCAAAAGAATGAAGAACCCAATCAAATTTAGGGCGTAGAATATCATATATATATATATATATATATATTTTCCAGCTGCTGTGTGTATGGTTCAAATTATATTTCTAAGACAAAGGTGGGCAAGTTTCCTTACTCCACACACACCAGCAGTAAGTCAGATCCCGGTTGTTAGCCGATTGGTGGATCGTTTTTCCGGGGATAATAATCCCTTCCAAATAAATGAATACATAATAATAATAATTTGGTCACTTCAACCCACGGCTGTTTGTGGGGACGCTGCTGTGCGCAATCGGCTGCCGCGTTTCACCCGCAAAACATACAGTCAATTCACTTTACAGTGTATTCTGTGAAGGGCTTTGAGACGTCTCGAAGATGTGATGAGGCGCTGTGTCAAATGCGAGGATTATTATTATTATTATCCCTTATTATTATGCAGTAATCTATGTGGTGTGTTTATCTCAGTGCTGGTCCAGAGCCTTGACGGTTTATATCTTGGCTTCACACGTTGTTAGAGAAGGCGATTCACTGCCAAATATACACTGTCAGGGAGAAGGGGATTAAATGATTTTGCTCCCAGGCTCTGCTCCAGTTTTTGCCGAGCCCCATATCCTGATATGTTGCTGTTATGTGGAGCTGAAAGTTGGCTCGTACGCAGTCTTAAGTGAAATAAATGTTGCTTTTTCTGTTCTACGTCTCAAAGCGCTTCACGGGATATACTGTAAACTGTAATGACTGTGTATTTTGTGGGTGAAATGCAGCAGCCAATTGGGACTGATGCCTTTGACCAGGGTTGTTATGTTTGCTAACTGATTGCCTGACATCTAATTCCTTTGTTGTACGGAAGCAACTCAATGGAGACGTACATCTGTTTGTGGTGATGATGTGATCCCAGATATGACTGGTTTAACACTCACTATACACGACAGGTAATCTGTAGGCTGTGGTTGGTGAGGAAACTTGCAGCCCAGACAGTCTGAGCTGCCTGGAAATCTCCTCAAATGTAAAACAATTAATCAGAAGTCTGCTTCGTAAAAACACCAGTCAATTTGTACACTTCCTCCTGTTTCTAATGATATGGAACTGTTCATTATTAAGGTTCTAAAATTACATTTCCCATTATTCACAGAGCTGAGAATTTCAGTCATAATTTCAAATGTATTTTTCCGCTTGACAGAGGCAGAATACTCTCTCTCTCTCTCTCTCTAATTTTGCTATGTCCATATTTCACTTGTATCGCCCGCAAAATATACAGTCAATTCACTTTGCAGTATATTCTGCCAAGCGCTTTGAGACGTCTCAACGATGCGATAAGACGAGATATCTGGGGACACAGTTTGGGACACGACACGTCAAGCGACTGCCAGGATGGTGGACGGCGAACTAGATGGACCTTAATCTTCTCTCACCAGCAAATTCTTATGTTCTTGTTGTCAGTGATGGTCTGTCTGTATGTCTGGAACTTAGTGATACAGCACCAATATGAAACGTTGCTTTGAGCTTGATCCAGGGCGTTTAGGACCCAGCAAGGGATGGTATTTGTGTCCGGAGTAGGATTTAGCTGCGGAGTTCTGGTTATTATTATCGACCTGCCTTTTATCACCTTCCGGTGATGGATGAGTGATGATCAACACAGGATAAGTGGTTGAGTTACATTGCCATACGATGCTCACTGCAACCCAGGCTATCATAACCACTGTTGAACAAGGTCGATTGTGCGCATATCCTCAAGATCTCAGAGAATCATTTACCAGTTATTTTGGTGTGTTTTGTGGCGGGAGTGGTATTTATTTATTATTATTATTATAAATAATAATATTTATTGATTAACAACCGGGTTCCTACTCACTGCTTTGTAAACAGAGACATGTGTGTGTGTGGAGTAAGGAAACTTGCCCAACGTTTCGTCCGGTCCTGCCCGGGAATCAAACCCGGGTCCTCTCGCTTGCGAGGCGAGAGCTCTAACCCCTGAGCTACAGGACTCCACAAAGTGCACAATGTTTTGGTCTGTTTGTGGGTACCTCCTGAACCCAGATTTACCTTTGCACAAAACACCAGCTTGTTTCCCAGTCGCTAATACCGCTTTAGCCCAGTTATACTTTTACGCAAGGATATTTTTATACCAGGTATGTCTGATTGGAAGAGCTTTCTGTACAGAGGGCTGTGATCGACAGGTCTGAGGACTCCTCTTGGAGAGGTCAGGAATTGTGTTAAATGTTTTCCCTTCAAAGCCAAGGTTAAGATGTGGGATTAGTAACGTTATAATGAAATGAACAGATACGGATTGGAGAGCAGATACAGCTCACGATTAGCTGGGCGATGAGCAAAGCACATTGTAAACACATGAATAATATTTCCAAAAAATCTGTGAACAATGTTAATTGGATCGATAAAGTTGAACTAAATTGGCAAGGTGACATCTTTTGGGGGACATCTTTTGGTGTTTTAGACTTGCAGGATTTCACTGGAAAGTGTTGTGACTGTGTTTTTCTTCCCCACAAACGTCCAGGAAGTGAATGACCAATTTCATCCGGAGGATGTAAAGATATTACATACGGAGCGTTACTGTATTATGGAATTTTACTTAATTTATGTTTGTTGTGCAGGGACAAAAGTTAGGGAGTGTTTCTCAAGATATCAACGTAAGGATTATTATTATTATTATGATTATTATTATTATTATTATATGTGTGATAAGGTAGAGTCCAAATTAGATCAGACTGGAAATGACTGGAAATATATACAGTGTATAGTTTGGGACACGACATGTCAAGTGACTGCCAGGATGGTGGAAGGCGAATTAGATGGACCTTGGGTTTTTTTCGCCAGCAAATCCTTATGTTTTTAAATGGTCTACAGAATAAACTGGTTGAATAAGCTTTCCCATGTTCTCGTGCGTCTTATCTTAATGAAGTTGTTTTGTTGTTGCGTGCAGATGTCCATTGCCCCGCAGCCAGGGAAAGGCTGTTTGGGTTGCAGAGGAACGTGCAAAGGGTTTGAGCCACATCCATGGAGGTAAATAATCCTGACCAGAAATGATGCTTTTTCTCTATCACAGCATTTTTTATTGGAACCCATCCCAGAATGTGGCTGCTGCAGTTTAATCCTGCACTTCCAGACTACAGCTTGTAATTAGACTGTAAATGACCTTATAATAGAGGGTAAAGTCAGCTAATGTGACCATTGGTAGTGGTTAGAGCACTCGCCTCGCAAGCGATAAGACCTGGGGTTTTGATTGCCTTGCCCAAAACGTTGGACAAGTTTGCTTACTCCACACGCACGCCTCTATTAGCACTAAGTAGGAACTTGGTTGTTGGTTTTCCAGGGGTAATAATTCCTTCAAAATTTGGTCACTCGATCCACGATTGTTTGTGGGGACACTGCTATGCACAATTGGCTGCTGCGTTTCACCCACAAAATATACAATTCACTTTACGATACATTCTGTGAAGGGCTTTGAGACGTCTCAAAGATGTGATCAGGTGCTATATCAAATGCAAGGATTATTATTATTATTATTATTATTATTATTAATGCCGCTTTGGTTATTCTTTGCTCAAAACAGTCTCCAGTGTGTGATGGATTTACCGTCTCATAACTAGCCGCGATGTTAATCCCTCTGTACGGCTCATACAGCAGCAAATCATTGTCTGAATTTTAAAAATATCTGGGTGACATGAAGTCTCCGAGATAAACAGAAATTGGGCCATTGAATGGAATGTAAATTGAGCCTGAGATTGGCTTGTGTTTTGTTGCTCGCACTGTTATTGGCTGAGGGACAAAGTGGAGATTTATTGACAGTGTTGATACAATGATTTGATACTCATCTGATCTTGGACTAAATGACAAGGGCAACGGCATTAATAGCCAGCGAGGAATAAACCTACCATGTGTCATATCTGTTAATTTTAGAGGAGTCCTAGCACTGGGCTGGTATGCCTGGAACGCTTAGACATTTCTATCCGATCCGTTTGTGGAATGTAACTTAATCTCGTATCTTCAAACATAATGCCATCAAACCCACAATCATCTCTGAGGTCTGCCTGATTGAGCCTTAGATTTGTGCGGATATTCAACCTTTTGCTTCAACATTGAAACTTTCATGCGTTGCCTTCATTGAGACATAAATCATCTGTTCTGTATCAATCAATGGTGCTGGGGGGATGTGGGGGGATGTGGGGGTGGGGGGGAACAATGTTAAGATTGGCTTGGCAAGTACTGTAAGCATTACTCTCTCTCTTAAATAAACATTTTACTCACCAGAAGACATTGTTTGAACTTTACCAGATGAATCCTGAAAGGACTGACCTGCATCTTGTGTAGGGTCAACGAGAGCTGCAACACATCACAAAGGATCAGATGTAGTGAGAACACAGATTACAGTTGTAAACTGTCAAAGTGCTTTTTGTTTATGTTTTTGAGTTCACCAAAGTTAGAAGATTAGTCCTTTGCCCTGTGGTCCCTCCTCTCCTCTCCCCTCCAATGACGGAGTTATTCACCCTTGGTTTGACTTAACAACAACAATAACAGCAACAACTTGCACTTATACAGCGCCCTCCACACAGGGCAGTGTCTCAAAGAGCTTCACAGTGGCGGAGCCTGACTCCGAGCCGGGAGGGAGGGAGGGGGGGAGATGGCCGTAAACACGGTCGAGCAAGAAGGTTTTCAGACGGGACTTGAAAGAGGGGAGAGTGGGGGGGCCGAGGTGGGGGGATTGAGGGAGAATATTCCAGAGTTTCGGAGCCTAGTGGCTGAAAGTGCAACATCCAATGATGGGGCGGAGGGTGCAAGAGACGAGCAGGAGGCAACAACAACAACAAATGATATTTACACGGCGCCTTTCACGTCGGGAGGACGTCCCAAGGTGCTGGACAGTCAGGGATTTGGACCCGAGCTGGGAGTCAGGATCAGGGAGGAGGTGCAGGGCAGGGAGAGTAGGGGTAGGAGGGTGACCGAAGGCACGGGGAAGAGGAGAGTCTTGAGACAAACCTACACTCACAGCGGTGGGAGAGATTGCATTGTCAGAGGTGCCGTCCTTTAGAATTAACATTAAACCAAGTATTCAGATTAGACGTTAAAGGACCCAAGGCACTATTTATTCAAAAACTGAAAGGGATTTCTCCTGGTATCCTCACCGGCATCCTCCCTGATAAAAATGGGTTAATCCCTTCATAGCTATTTGTGGGACATTACTGTGCATTAATTGACTGCTTACAAAATACACAGTCACTACCCTTTACACAGCATCACCTGAGGTGTTTTCTCAACACTACGGAAGGTGCTATCTCAAATCCAAGGATTATTATGATTATTATTATGATTATTATTATCAGAGTATGTGTTTTGGAAATACCCGTGTTGAAAATCAGAAATGCAACAGGATGCGAAGCTGGAATTTGTGCAACTTGAGCTATAAAATCTCCCTCTCCCCCCACCACTCCCCCGCGGCTGTCAGTAACCAGTCGCCTCAACCAGCTGAGGTTCATTATTTTTTGGTCTCGTGGCCAATCTGTTTAACAGTGGTTTTCCTGCAGCTGTTGGGTGGGGTCATCCCAAAACTGAGACAATTGTCAGCCTTCTCCCCCCACTCTTATACACAATAACACTGCGTCAGAGTTACCGGTTGTTAGTCGAAAAAAAACACCCTCCACGCAGTTATAGTCACTGCAGAGTGTTAATAATAATAATAATAATCCTTGCATTTGATATAGAACCTTATCATGTCTTCGAGACGTCTCAAAGCCCTTCACTATAAAGTCAATTGACTGTATATTTCGTGGGTGGAAGGCAGCAGCCGATTGCGCGCAGCAGCGTGCCCACCAACAGTCGTGGATTGAAGTGACCAAATTATTATTATTATTATTTATTATTTTATTTTTTTCAAAAGGTTATTAACGCCGGTAAAGCGATCCGCCGATCGACTAACAAACGGGTTCCTAGTCACTGCTGGTAAACAGAGGCAACAGAACATTTTATCTCGTTGCGTATCCTGTGACATCTCTGAGCGCTTTTCAGTCAGGTGTCCTGATCGTTGTACTGACATAACTCTGTCTGTCAATTCTAACTTCAGAAGAGAGCTCTGGTACTGAAGCAATACATCAATATCAATTCCAACCCTCTTTATCCTGGAGGCCTGCGGAATGTTATGTTGATAGATTTAGCGGCTAAATGGTATTAAGCTGCGTGGAGGGCTTTTTTTTTGCTGTGGACTGACTCCTTGCTACTGCAGACCAGATTGAACGCTGGCCAGATTCTCGTTAACTTGTGACTGTTTGACAGCGCGAGGGAGGGGGAATGGTATTGTTGGTCATCTCTGGAGTCTGGCCAGCATTCCTACCAGTTCCCAGGGCCTATAGCGTATTATTCTTGGACACCGAGCTGCCCAGTCCCTAGTGAGGTAACGCCTTGTTAGACACAGGCTGGAGGCAGCTTTAATGGTATAAACTCTGTAACTCTCTCCCTCAATCCCCCCGCCTCCCTCCCTCCTTCCCTTCCTTCCTCCCCGCTTTCAAGTCCCACCTAAAGATCTTACTTTTTGATTTGGATAGTGCTTACGGCCACCTGCACCCTCCCTCGCTCCCCCTCCCCCCTGGCTCGGTGTCAGACTCCACCACTGTCAAGCTCTCCGGGGCACTACCGCCTGTGAAGGGCGCTGTGCAAACTCAGGTTGTTGTTGTGAATAGTCTGTGCAGAATCACATTCACATTGTTTAACCTCAGAATGCAATATACATCCACAGGATTCAAGCAACCAAAGGCTTTGTTACCTAATCCTGCGATGTAACTGAATCTTCCCCTTGTGTTTATGTGAGATACATGTCATCTGAGAGAGGTAGCTTCTAATATTACCGTTTCACTCTTTTGACCGCAGGAAGATATGTAAGTTGTGTAAGTGTAGCCAGGGAGATCACAGCCTGTGCTCCGATACAGAGGATGATCGGAAAATTGGCCGCCTCTTGACAGACTCCAAATATTCCAACCTGACTGCCCGGCTCAAGGGAGGAGATGGCGTCCGCATCTATAAGAGGAACCGGATGATCATCACCAACCCTATCGTGACCAGGAAAGACCCAACCTTTGACACTGTCACTTATGAATGGGCTCCACCAGGATTGACCCAAAAATTGGTAAGATAAGCTCGCAAGAGAGATGCCCTTGGGCTAACCCAATACTGTAGTCTTGTTAAAGTTATTTAAAGTACTTTGAGATAATAATAATAATCATCCTTGTATTTGATATAGGGCCTCATCAGGTCTTTGAGGCGGCTCAAAGCGCTTCACAGGATACAATGTAAAGCCAATTGACTATATGTTTCGTGGGTGAAACGCGGCAGCCCATTGCACACAGCAGCGTCCCACAAACGGTTGTGGATTGAGTGATCAAATTATTATTATTTGAAAAAATTTTGAAGGAATTATTAGCCGCGGAAAAGCGATCCACCAATCGACTGGCTTCCTATTTACTATTAAGTAAACAGAGGCGTGTGGAGTAAGGTAATTTGCTTAGCATTTCGCCCTGCCCGTCTGGGAATCGAACTCGGGTCCTCTCGCTTGCGAGGCGAGCGCTATAACTGAGTCAAATTCCTCCAGGAGTGGAGGAGGAAAAGAAGAAGAAAAAAATTCATGCTGGAGGGGGCTGTTTGTGGGTCTGTGTCTCCTGGGGTGGGAGGAGGAATTCACCAACAAAAGCCCTTTATATATACTCTCTGCAGCAGGAATGCATTAGTGGGAGGTTCAAACCACTTTGGGAATGAGATGGATACAAACCAAATGTACATTTGACTATTGACTCTGTTGTTAATTCCAAGTCTGGACAATCTGAGGGTCAAATCAAACCCCACGGACAATTACAGTGTTGGTGTAAAGTTAGCCTCTGTTTATCGCACTGATGCTGTATCTAACCTTTTAGATTTTCGAAGGACCCTTTTAGCTTTCCCGTCAAGCATATCAAACACACACACGCAGCCTTCGGGAATCTGTTCCTCTTCCAAAACAATCATCAATCAATCGGAGCCACAGAAAAGGGTGGAATTTTTGTCCTTTGGAACACTTGTTCTGAGCAAACAGTCGCTAGTCACTCATCTAAAGCTGTCGTACTGTCTTAGTTCAAGAACCTAATGTGACCCTAACCAGGCAAGGCATGTGCAATAATGTGTGCTATCAACAAGCCAAAGCTGTTAAATAATAATCCCAGCCTTAAACTCATTCCAAAGTGCAAAATCTCGCCTGTCTCTCTCGGCTGAAGAATCTTAACTGCTTTCAGTTCACAGTTGAACATTAAACCACTGGAATAAGATTTTCTTTCCAGTTTAGATTATCTGCTTTTTAGTAACAGATTTTTCGTGCTGCCCATGAATCAAACCCGGGTCCTCTCGCTTGTGAGGCGAGCACGCTAACCACTGAGCTACAGGACTCCACAGTGATATCTGTGTGTTATGTTGGTGCCTCTGCTTGAAGCCTTAGTCCAAATGGAGGAGACATAGGAAACTAGTTGGCAGCAATGGGGCTTCTCACTATTTTGGGTGACAAGATGCTCTTAGAGAGTCTGGGTTTAGCTCAAGTATCAGGAGTAGAGCAGCTGGAATAAGTCATGTAATGACTGTTTGCCTTTTACAAGTCCCATGGAGGCTGCTCGGCTTGTTGTAGGGATTACCAGAGATCCCTGTGGCATGGCTTGTATCAGGATTGCCATGACATACAGCAGGCGGAAGTCTATTTACATTTATGAAGTAGTTCTGGTCATGTCACCGTGACCTAAACATAATTAGCAACAAGATGCCTTCCATCCTGTAGCTTACTGGGTAGAGCCTTCGCCTCACAAGCGAGAGGACCTGGGTTTGATTCCCGGGCAGAGCGGTTTCTTAGGCAAGTTTCCTTACTCCGCACACTCCTCTGTTTACCAGCAGTCAGTAGGAACCTGGTGGTGAGTCGATTGGTGGATCACTTTTCCGGCGATAATAATCCTTTCAAAAAACAATAAAAATATTAATAATAATTCGGTCACTCAATCCACGGCTGTTAGTGGGGACGCTGCTGTACAAAATTGGCCGCCGCGTTTCACCCCCAAAATACACAGTCACTCCACCTTACAGTATATCCTGCGACTCGCTTTGAGACGTCTCGAAGACGTGATAAGTCGCTGTATCAAATGCGAGGAGTGCTATTATTCAGCAATGCCACGCCGCATCGAGCGTTCACGCACTGAGCTCAAACATGGTGTCAGCTTAAAAACAACAATGGTCACTTTCTTTAAAATCCTTTGTCTCTGTTCCTCCAACAGCCTTTAGGAACTGAGTGAGAGTTGACGTTGAACTATATGTCATGTCGTTTTCTTTTTTTTCCTCCCATTTTGTGGGCCTGATCCAGCCATCTGGGTTTGGATAATGTGTCGAGCAGGAAATTCTCCTTGACCCATTGACCTAAGTTAGGAAGGTTTCTCAAATAACTTCAGAAGATTGCCACCCCCCACCCACACTCCCCCTCTCTTTGACTTTAATAACCCAGTCTTTTAATCACGTTTAACTATAAATATAAATATAATCAGGGCAGCTTCCTGCCTGCTAAATATTGCTCTTCAGAAGTGAATCGCAGCAGTTATAAGAAACCGATTCATCATTTCATATGAACGGTTTAATCTGCAGAAAATGTCCCTGAAAAAAAAGCAAGTCTTCGTAGAAATTTCCCCTTATGCTTCAAAATGAGTAATCTAATACGAGGGGTTATAATGGCAATGGTTTATTTCCATTTATAGTCATATTTTACAGTATTAAAAAAATTGTAAGGAAATAATATTGCATTTGGAACTTAATTAAATGGCTCATTTTCACATATCATGCAAATAAATTCTGGCTTCATTTTAGTAGGGATAAATCACATTGCGGAGTCCTGTAGTTCAGTGGTTAGAGCACTCGCCTCACAAGCCAGAGGACCTGGGTTTGATTCCCGGGCAGAGCGAAATGTTGGGTAAGTCCCTTCAAAAAAAAAAATAATAATTTGACCACTCAATCCACGGCTGTTTGTGGGGACGCTGCTGTGCGCAATTGGCTGCCGCGTTTCGCCCACAAAATACACAGTCAGTTCACTTTACAGTGTATCCTGTGAAGCACTTTGAGACGTCTCGAAGACGTGATAAGGCGCTGTATCAAATGCCGGGATTATTATACGTTGTCATTGCGTTTCACAGAAATCGTACCTTTTTATTCTCTCCTCTTCCTATTTCGCCCTCCCCACCCCGAACCCAGGCTATCCACTATATGGAATTCATTCCGAAGGAGATACAGCCAATCTCTGGCACGGAAGGAGCCTACAATCGCCGTAGGCAACTGATGCGACAGCTGCCGATTTATGATCAGGACCCGTTTCAGTGCCATGCTCTGTCGGAGACGGAGGTGAAGCAAATGGAGGAGTTCATCAGGAAGTACAAGAGTGATGTCCTGGGTGTGGGGGAGGTGGCTCTCCCTGGGCAGGCGGGCCCCGCGGCTAAAGAGGAGGCCAAACAGCAGCACAAACCCACGGGATCCCTTACCAACGGCAAGACCACCGTGAAGGACAAACCACAGGAAGCCTCCGCTGCGCCCAACGGCATGCCTGCCGACCCCCACCAGCAGGAGGATTACGTGAGTGGCTTGGCTTTCTTTTTGTTTGTGGAGTCCTGTGGCTCAGGGTTTAGAGCACACCCCTCGCGAGCGAGAGGACCCGGGTTCGATTCCCGGGCAGGACAGGACGAAACGTTGGGCAAGTTTCCTTACTCCGCGCACACACACACCCACACGCCTCTGTTTACCAGCAATTTATATTGTGTCTTGTGGCGGGGTAACGACTCTAAGCGCTTGACAATGGCGGAGTCTGACCACGAGCCGGGAGGAGAGGGAGGGAGGTGGGGAGGTGACCGTAAGCACGATCAAAAAAGGAAGGTCTTTAGGCGGGATTTGAAAGTGGGGAGGGAGGGAGGGAGGGAGAGAGAGAGAGGGAGGCGGAGGGATTGAGGCAGAGAGTGACAGAGTTCCATCTGACACGTGTGGAAGTGATCGATCCCAGACACGCTGGAGGAGGAATGCTCCTGTTGTTTGTTAAGAATGTTTGCACGTTCCGTTGCACTTACAGGTTGGTGTTTTCCAATCAAAGGAACGCACACACAAGCCTCAAATAGCCAACGGTCATTGGATCTTCACAGTGTTTCTGTATTTTCTATCATTTGTTCCGCCCCCTCTCCCCCTCCCACATTGCCACAAATGATCACAATGTTGTTTGCCGGAGGTCAACCCAACCACACTAATTGGTTAGTACAAACATCGGACTACTGTCCGTTATTCACTCTCCTCTCTCTTCCTCTCTCTCACTTTTCAAGTCTCGATTGAACCTACAATAGATCTGCACTAGATTTCTCTGTGCTCCATTAGGAATAATAATAATAATCCTGGCATTTGACACAGCGTCTTATCGCGGTCTTCGAGACGTCTCAAAGCGCTTCACAGCACACACTGTAAAGTGAATTGACTGTGTATTTTGCGGGCGAAACGCAGCAGCCAATCGCGCACGGCAGCGTCCCCACAAACAGCCGCGGGTTGAGTGAATTCATTATTTTTTTTTGAAAGGATTATTACCACTGGAAAAGCGATCCACCAATCGACTAACAACCGGGTTCCTACTCAAACAGAGGCGTGTGTGTGTGTGTGTGTGTGTGTGTGTGTGTGGAGTAAGGAAACTCGGCCAATGTTTCGCCCTGTGCTGCCCGGGAATCAAACCCGGGTCCTCTCGCTTGCGAGGAGAGCGCTCTAACCCCTGAGCTGCAGGACTCCAAGTATAGGGAATCCTCCTCTTAGGCCCCCAAACAGTGGATGTTTTGTAACCCAAGAGCTGGACTGGAATGAATAAAGAATAAAAGAGCAAATATTGGGAACGAGCACCTTGTAATTGAATTTAATGTATCGTTTTGCAACTGATACTTAACCGTAATGTGGCTGCTTTCAAACTCTGTTTCCCTGCTCCTCGGGGCAGTTTCCGTTCAAGATTTTAATCTCATTTAAGTGGCTTTGTGTTGGGGGGGGGGGGGGGGGTGGGGGGGCGCGGTCGGGTGGGGGGTAGTTTAATCTGGTCGAAAATTTAGACCATGTGTGAGGAATGCCGGGCGGTCACCTTGAACAGAGTTCATGGACGCCCAGGGTTTGATTAAAGTTGACGGCACCGAGGTTAGGCATTGGACTTGTTGATCTGTTCCAGACCCCAGTCTCTCTTTAGTGCGGGAGCGATATCTACATCTGCTACACAGTGAAAGGCAAAGGGAACTGACATCCCTCTTCAATCGCACCTTCGGCCACTCTCGACCCCTCCCTGATCCCATTCCCCCCCCACCCACCCCTGGGCTCGAGTCCAAACTGTCCAGCGCTCTGGGATGTCCTCCCGACGTGAAGCCTGCTGTACGCATGTCATTTGTATTGTAGCCCCTCAGAGTGTGTGTTGGGGGCAACCCATTCCCAGGGCCATGTGATGGACGTTGGTTCCTGGTATGTATTGTGTCCAGACTCCAGTGTATATATCATCTTCTGGAGAGAAATTGGGGGGAGCGTACAAAGGAGTAATTGAGTAACAGTATCGTGGGTGGAGGGGGCTGGTGACCACAGGCGCGGTCGAGGAGGAAGGTCTTCAGGTGCAATCTGGAGATGGGGAAGGAAGGGGGCGAGGCGGAGGGATGGAGGGAGAGTGTTGATAGAGGGAGAGGGGGATAGGTGTGCTCTGTTTGTTAAGGCGTTGCTTTATGCACTGTGGTGCTTTCCACCACGTATGTGGCAGTGAAGCACAGTAACATATCACATGAACGACACCTCTAACACGCATCGAGCTGACATCATTCCCTCTTCAGGAAGGTTTCAGGGGTTGACACAGTACGTTCTGTAGCTCATGACAATTTTAGTGTAATCGCACGCCTTGCACAGTATGACTCCTTCCTACGCCCACGGCAGGGAATCGCAGGCTCCTTGAAATGCTCATCTCCTTACAATGTGGAGTCTAGTTGTTTTTAGGAACAACATCAAGAGCTGCCAGAAGCCAGAAACCATGTCATTTATTTTTCGCCCCAGTTCTTTTACCCCCGGACCCTCAGTGTCACCTGTCAAGCAGAGTTTCTGAATTTATTTTGCTCGGGTTGAAGTACTGAGTGCGCATCAAGCTCTTCCCAAGATAGTGTTACTCTCAACCTTTGCCTCCAAAATACACAGTGACTACACTTTACAGTACATCCTGTGAAGCGCTTTGAGACGTCTCAAAGACGTTTTGAGGCTCTGTTTCAAATTCAAGGATTATTATCATTTATCCTGTCAGTTAAAGCTGTCTGCCCTGTGCAGGACTACATGTACAGCGTTCTCTTGTGCAAGCAATCTCTGCTCGCTTGAATCTCGTGGGAAACATTGATGTGATTTGGCAACGGCTGATTGGAGTTGTGGAGGGGTTGGTAGGGAAGGTGAGATTGTTTTGGGTGACGGGTCATCAATGAAATGTTTGCGCACACGGTGATTCAAAGACCTTGGACACAATCAGGTTCCTACTTACTGCTCAATAAACAGAGGGTGTGTGTGTAGTAAGGAAACTTGCCAAAGGTTTCGCCCGGCCCGGGAATCAAACACAAGTCCTCTCGCTTGCGAGGCGAGTGCTCTAACCACTGAGCTACAGGACTCCACTATCTTCCGCCCGACCGAAATATTTGCCAAATAATGTTATTTCGGGACATTTTGCCCCAAAAGCACAGATTTCCGTGTCATGTCATTGTCAGCCAGTTGTAGGCGGGATATCACAATGAAGTAAAAATGGGAGGAAGGGAGTATTAACTTACAGCGTGGTCATGAAACCATCTAAAATATAGGGTGCGATTGGCGTGATCTCATCCGATCACTTCCACAGCTGTCACTGAGGAAAGACAAAGATAATAATTTAGATATTTTCTTGTTCTCCTGGTATCTCAATTAGCTTTTTGAGACTTATTCCCTGCAAAAGCTCAAATGTTCAGACACAAGCTAGGGAGAGAGGAGAAAGCTCAGCTATACATACACTCAGCGGGTCGATAAATCAGGAGCAATCCCTGCTCTGCACGCTAGAACACATGCTGGGATTATCTGTCATGAACATCTATGCCAACCATGACTAATAGCTTCTCCCATGCTCCCAGTTAAATGACTTCACTGGACAGTGATGCGTACATTGCTACATTGAACGTTTTCAGGAAACGAGAAAGTAGTAGTTGGAGAATTCATCAATTATCTCACCAGACAGAGGGTCAAAGATTTCCAAATAAGTAAGTTTTGCAGCAGTAATAAAGTCCAGTTCAGTGACGAAATTTCGTCTCAGCTTGTGAGCTCTGTGATCATTCCTGGCAATTACTGCCTTTTTTCTTTTAACTGCATATACATCGCTTTATATCATCAAAAGTAATTGGATCAATCAATGACTCTGATTCAACATGCAGACGCTACAAAATGGTTTCTTTGGTTACGCTCCTTCATTTATTTTGGGAATGACTATAAAGTCCTGTGGCTCAGTGGTTAGAGCTCTCGCCTCGCAACGAAACGTTGGGCAAGTTTCCTTACTCCACACACGCACGCCTCTGTTTACCAGCCAGTAAGGAGGAACCCGGTGATTAGTTGATTGGCGGATCGCTTTTCCTGGGGCAATTATAATTAATATTAATAATAATTATTATTATTATTTCCCCAGGGTAATAATCAGTTACGGGATAAATATCACCGCACCGTTTCAGATTGATTTGATGCCGTTCCCCTTTTTTACGCAGCTCAACATTCTCCCATCTGTAACCAATTTACTGAAAGGCACCATGTTTAAACACCGGGGCCTGTGTGGGTGGGGGCGAGCGGAGGGAGGAGGGTGAAGGAGAGAGGACGAGAAGGAAATGTGCTGAATTGAATTGATTAATTGAATTGGGAACAAACGAGTCTCGCAGACAGGGAAAGGTCCATTTGCAAACATAAGTACAAGTTTCCTACCCATCTTCTGACAGGTTTATGACCAGTTTAAAGCTTTAACATAGTTGCTCGCCCTGACGTATGTATATATTAGCCACCGAGGTGCTGAAGACATCAATCAGCGGTAACATCTGAAGAACATAAAAGGATACGCACAGATCAAACACCCAGAAATCCCTATGTTGTGGGGATTAAACTAGTCTGGAAATGGATTATGTGGTTGCACAAAGCAAAAAGGAAGCGTGTCTTTTTTTGTGTGTGGATTCTACAGTCATTCATTACATCATGTTAGGACTGGAGGCAATTAAGCCAACTATCAGAATCTGTCTCCCGTCACCAAACTTTAGTCCAAACATTTATGTTTCTGGATTGAGAAGTGCTGTTGCATTTGACACAGCGCCTCGTCACGTCTTCGAGACGTCTCAAAGTGCTTCGCAGACTATACTGTGAAAGTGAATCGACGGTGTATTTTGTGGGCGAAACGCAGCAAAACGAGGCGAGTGCTCTAACCACTAAGCTACGGGGACTCTGTCTAATAGACACAAGACGTCTATTTTGATTTGATTTATAAATAGGATGTATTAATGGGGTATTTTTGCAGAGTTCCATGTTCCCCTTTGTGTCTCTATTTTGCAGCACTGCGAGCATTGCAAGCAAGCGGTTGGCATCGACGCTCCCGCAGTGTATGGGGAAAGGATTGGGTACGACAGGCTCTGGCACCCGGCCTGCTTCGTGTGCTCCAGGTGCCAGGAGCCGTTGGTCGATCTCATCTACTTCTGGAAGAACGACAGCCTTCTGTGCGGCCGTCACTACTGTGAGAGCGAGCGGCCTCGCTGCGCTGCCTGTGACGAGGTGAGTTAAGCTGGGAAACGCCTACACGTGTTCAATCCCGTAGCTCAGTGGTTAGAGCACTCGCCTCACAAGCCAGAGGCCCTGGGTTTGATTCCCGGGCAGGTCAGGTCAAAACATTGGGCAAGTTTCCTTACTCCACACACACGGGCCTCTGTCTACCAGCAGTCAGTAGGAACCCGGTTGGTAGTCGATTGGCGGATCGCTTTTCCGGGGATTATAATCCCTTCAAAATAAATAATAATTAGGTCACTCAATCCATAGCTGTTGGTGGGGACGCTGCTGCGCGCAATTGGCTGCCGTGTTTACAGTATATTCTGTGAAGACGTTATAAGGCACTAAATCAAATGCAAAGATTATTATTATTATCATGATTAAGAGCATTGTCTTGGGTTATGAGAATACAATGAAGGAAGGGGAACATCGATGGCTCATTGATCTATTTTCTTTCCAGTTAATTTTCTCGGAAGATTTGATGCAAAGCGATGGACTGAGCTGGCATAAAAAGCATTTCTGCTGCCTGGAGTGTGAGCAGCCACTGGCGGGGAAGTCCTATGTGCTGGAGCAGGACAAGTTACGGTGTGCTTCCTGCAACAAAACCACCAAGAACATGTGAAGGCTGTACGCCATTACTGGAGCAACAACCGTGCCCGTACTTTGCTTATGTAGCGGTATAGATATATATATATATATAAATTAAGCGAAAATAATTCTGTTCAGCTAAATCGCGTAGAATATGGATTTACTGGCACCGGCACGTTTGAGAGAGATTGGTTGCCAAGAGCGGACAAGTTATTGAAACCAGACAATGGTGGCTGATGCGATGGAACAGTCCTCACTTGTAATAAGGTGCTGAGTTTTAGGTTCAGTGTAATTTGCTGTGTGGATCCCTCAGATCACTGCTATAAGATACTAGATACTAGTGGTAGGTGTTATGTATAAATGGCGAGGTCCAGCCAGAGAGTTATTGCTGGATTGACTACAATAAGCATTTGAGGGACACTTGTATGTGTTGATTAGATAGTGTGTGTTCTCCTTTATTATTATTATTAAATCTGCAGTCTTTGAAAGAGGGGCATTCAAGTAAGTTGGTGATTGGCATTCGTTTGCGCGTCTAGTAGTTTGGGGGCGAGAGGTGAGATCAGATCAGATCAATAGATCGGTGCTTAGGGTTGAATTGTATTTTTTTTAAATTCAATTCGAGATTCAAGATCAACTCTTTAAAGAGCTGCCTTATTACAGTGTGGAAGATTATACTATTGTACTGTGGGATACTTTGATGTGTCTGTGCTTCGAAATGTCCTGCAATTTGCTATGATGATTTTGTTGGGTGTCTTGTTGGCTTGGGGAAGGGGGGGTTGAGAAGCTTTTTTTAAAATAATGTCAATAATCAATACGTTGATCATTTATTTATTGATCAGAAACATGTCATGGACAGACTCCGCTTCGGGGCTTATAACCAAAAACTGAAAACCAATCGCACTTATTGTTCTTTGTTCTATTCTAACAACCTATTAAGGAATCGGGTTCAAACTGTTAATTGCTTTGTTTTTTGATTGACAGATGTTTGCAGATATTTAGTCATTTAATATGTTTCTGCAGTTTTACTGGAGTTTTATTGCTTCAATAAACCTGCAGAAACATATTAAATAGTGATGGTATCTACATTGGTATGTTTGTATTGTAATGAATAGGTCAGTATTAAATCCTTTAGTCTGAGGGGTTATGGTGTGTTGTCAACACACATGGTGAATTTATTGACATCTTTACATGACTGGTAGTTTGCCCTGGCTTCAAGCAGTAAAATGTTGTGGAATAAATAGCATAGCGTTTCTGCCTCTTTTAGAGACTCAAAAATCAACCAACAAAAAGAACTTCGAAAACAATTGCACTTATGAAAAGGTGTGGACGTTCAGTGCTTTGATGCTCAGTCTCCCTGCAGTGAATTCCCCAGCTCTAGATCTGAACATCACAGCAGTGCATTGATTCGATGTGGTCTGCAGTGTAAAGTATGTGCCACCTGCATAGTATAAAATAGCTTGGCTCAGTCCACATGCTGTGTTTTACTGGAGAACCAGTGGTGAAACAGACTGTGCTTGAGTCAGCCAAACCAAAGTGGATTCGATGAAAAACACTAAGCTATAAGTTACTGTGATTATCCTCAGTATAAACATACTCTCTACGTTGTAAGACATAAAGAGTTTGAAACCTTATTCATGTGGACTGGCAAAAACAACAACAACAGCTTTCTGCTTTTCTCCTCTGAGTCACGATAATCAGGAAATTCTGTTTGACGTGAATATTCCCAGGTTCTTCACGCTGGGAGTTTTATTTTTTTAAAAACAACAGAGACGCAGTTGATTTGACGTGAATTGAACGGTGGATTAATTGATGCAGATGAATGTTAAAGTTAAAGTTTCCTAAACTAGGAACCCGTTCAGACTCCCCTAATCCAGCCAGCAGATGTCCTCTAGTCTACTTCAATAAACTCCTCTCACACATTGAAGTCATCATCTACCCGACATGCTATGTAGATGAAAGTTAGTGACACCCAGTGGCATATCATCACTAGTGCAAAGCAGTGGTTTTGCATCCTATTGATAGAGTGTCTGTCCACTGTAGTGAGGTTGGGTAATTTCCAACGGCAATGTCAAGCTGGCTTACGACCTGTCACTCAAGTTACATATTGGAAGGTGATGAATTCTGACAAAACAGGTTTATCCCTGTCACTCGCTGTGTGATGTGAACGCTATTAGCAACACACAGCATATGACAGTGGAGTCCTGTACCTCAGTGGTTAGAGCACTCGCCTCACAAGCGAGTGGACCTGGGTTCGATTCCCAGGCAGGGAAAAATGTTGGGCAAGTTTCCTTCCTCCACACGCTTCTGTTTACCAGCAGTAAGTAGGAAACCGGTTGTCCGGTGGATTGCTTTTCCAGGGATAAAAATCCCTCCAAAAATAAATAATAATTTGGTCTCTCAATCCACGACTGTTTGCGGGGACGCTGCTGTGCGCAATTGGCTGCCGTATTTCACCCACAATATATGCAGTCAATTTACTTTACAGTATATCCCGGGAAGTGCTTTGAGACGTCTCAAAGACGTGATAAGGCGCTGTATCAAATGCCGGGATTATTCTAAAAGCACAAGATCGAAAGAGTCAGGAAGGGAATTTTGTACATTATACAGAAACCTGAATTATTGTCACAGAGAGAAATATGTGTGTGGAAAATGCTAAATGGTGTTTTTAAATGTGTTTTTTTTAACTCCTATTTGTGAAGTGATATCAAACAATTGTGTGTCTGTTTGTGTAGAGATCAATGAAACAGTATATTTGCAAATGTTTTTTGTAGGTGTTTTAACTCTTTGGAAAGCTTAAATAAAAAGTATAAACCAGTTATCAGCATCCAGTTCATGTTAAGGAGAGTGTTCTTTTGTTCCATAATATACGGAAAACAATATCTGGGGATACAGTATATAGTTGGGGACATGACATGTCAAGTGACTGCCACGATGGTGGAAGGTGAACTAATGGACCTTGGTCTTCTTTTGCCAGCAAATTCCTATGTTCTTATGCTGCACACTGTGCCTTTCTTTGGTCTCACACTCACACATAACCTCTGCCCACTGAATGGCCTGACTCATGCTGGATTCCGAGTCGACCCGTTGCCAGCAATCCTTCCATTACCTCATGAAGGTGGCCATGTTTAATGCGTGAGCTGAAGGATGGAGAACATTGTGTGCCCATGATGGGGTTTAACTGTGGAATCCTGTAGCTCAGTGGTTAGAGCGCTCACCTCGCACGAGAGAGGACCTGGCTTCGATTCTCGGAGCAGGGTGAAACGTTAGGCAAGTTTCCTCACACCGCACACCTCTGTTTATCTAACAGTAAGTAGGAACCTGGTTGTTAAGACGATTGGAGGATCACTTTTCCAGGGGTAATAATCCCTTCAAAATAAATAAGTAAATAAAAATAAATAATTTGGTCACTCAATCCACGACTGTTTGTGGGGACGCTGCTGTGCGCTATTGGCTGCTGTGTTTTGCCCACAAAATATACAGTCAATTCACTTTACAATATATTCTGTGAAGTGCTTTGAGACGTCTCAAAGACATGATAAGGCGCTGTATCAAATGCCAGGATTATTATTAACACAGAAGAGCACAATTTTAATATCTCCTTCCCAGCTAATGTCACTGGATAGTCATTGGGGATGAGAATTCAGCCGGATTATATTTGGGCCGCTCTCTATTCCAAGGGCGGTGGAAGCACCCAAACTGCTCCCTCGTTTGTTTTGGGTTGTTTTCTCGCCTTTACTAGGCAACCGCCCCTCTCCCCAGACAGTTTGTCCACAAACACGTCCTCTTTGTTTGTATGGGAGTCACTGGCACAGACCCTCATTCTGTGCATTGATCAACCAACACCCTGTGCCTGAGAAGCAGCCAAAACAGCCCCATTAACAAGTACCCAGTTCAATTCCTTATTTGCGCAAACGGACTTTTGTACATTAATGCCAAGTGACACAATCAACCCTTGGGGTCTTTATTTTTTAAACAGTGTTATTCAGGGCTCACGGTCCAGTCTGTGTTTTGGTCCTAAATGAGGAAAATGAAATGTGCCTTAATTTATGGAGCCTGAACAAGAGAGTTGGAGAAATGACATTCTAATGTTTAACAGTGCAATATGGGTTTCTCTACTCCTCATAATTACCCCTTTGGGTATTGCACTTTGCAGCATCTGGACCTGCTTTGTAACCAGAGTAGTAGCTTTTAACATTGAATTCCTGAGAGCTAGTGAGAGAGAGAGAGAGAGAGAGAGAGAGAGAAAAATCATGGACCCGCTAATTGTTTTTGTTTAAAAATCCGAGCGGCGAAATTTGCAAAGCAAATGTTTTCTAAGACTCTCTCAAATCCTCTCCTTGTTTTTCGCAAGTGGAACTAAGGTGGGCGATGATGACGCGCTTAAAAACCTGACTTTTATCTGGACTTTTGAGCAAATTTGTGGGCTGATAGGATCCTGCTGGGAGCTAGAATTCTATTTAATATTCTTTCCTGAGGCGCTGGAAAGTGAAGACTGCAAGTCCGCCTGATGTTATTCTGTCGCAGCTACTGTGCTATGTAAACTTTTGCCTGAGCTGGTATTCAGCATATCGCTGATTTCCACCACAGATTGAAGCAGAAAAATTAGATTTGTTATCCCATCAATATGTCTGGTTAATTATAATAATAATAATAATCCTGACATTTCATACAGCTCTTCATCATGTCTTCAAGATGTTGCAAAGCGCTTCACAAGAATATACTGTAATGTGAACTGACTGTCCAGTGCCTTGGGACGTTCTCCCGACTTGAAAGGCGCTATACAAATGTAATCTTGTGGTTGTTGTATATTTTGTGGGCGAAACGCAGCAGCCAATTGCGTACAGCAGCGTCCCCACAAACAGCCGTGGGTCGAGTAACCACATTATTATTTTTTTTTGAAGGGATTATATAATGTAATAATAATCTTTGCCTTTCGTCCAGCGCCATATCACGTCTTCGAGACGTCTCAAACCGCCTCGCGGGATACACTGTAAAGTGGAGTGACTGTATATTTTGTGAAATGTAAATTTTAAAAAAGTTCCGTAATATCCATCTTACCTTACATCCCATATTGGTTTACCTTGACTGGTTGCTTACCTTGGCTACACAAGTCGTCTGGCTCCAGCACCTGGGGAACTATTGACTCCAGAAAACATTCAATCATCTCAATCCGCAGTTACTCTGATAACATTCAATCTGTTTGCAAACCTAATATTTACCCAACTCGTTAAAGGTGTTAATCAGCCTCTTTACCTGGGAGTCAGCCGGAGCTAAATATTCCGTCTAACTTCTCATTTCCTTTCAACGCAGATGCAGTAGAATTATTATGAGGCTTTTTATTGGCCAGAGGGGTGTCTGACACACGTGGAAACCCATCGCCGTTGCTTAAGAGTCTCCAAACTAAACTGAGGTTTCCACACATCCCCACCTACATGTGGAAATCCCAGAGATAGACTGCAGCAGAAATGATTATGAAATGGTGAGAGTGCGAATGATTCTGGGTTTGACATTGCTCACCTATGAAATAAGCTTCAAATCCTTTTTTAAGCAATACAAATAAATGGATGAGAGGCATTTCAACACTTTACGAAAACCCAAAGGACAACAGTCAGAGGCTAATAATCCAAGATCAACATAAGGAGTGAGTTTTTCATGTTTACAATCATCAACTCAAGAGCTGGCCTACAATTTAGTGCAGAGAATAGTGATTAGATTACGTTTCTGTCAATTGGACTGATTTCGAATGCGATGCTAATGCAGTACGGAGGGCAATCTGATTAAGGTACAAAGAACACAAGAAACTACGAGGATTAGATTCTTTATGAGGTTTCAGTCATCTTGTTATTACATCCGTACACATTAATTCAACTCCGACGAGACAGACTGCTGGACTGTGTAACGCCTCCAAGCAGATTCCTTCACTTCTGTGTGCACCAAGTATTTAAAGGGCCACTGCCTTCGTGAGAAGGTGTGTAGAACTTTTGTTTGAGTGTAGGTAAGGATTTAGAGGATTATTATTCGGAGTGTCTTATTTAACAAATTGTTGAATTCTGTCTGTCTTAAATTTGCAGCCAGTTTTCTATAATTCTTCAAAAGATTAAGGTGCAGAGAACACAGAATTTCTTCAAAAGAAACTGACAGAAAACCAGCTTCAAAACTGAGGCTGTATTTGAGAACCTGACGAACTCTGAATGCTCTAAAACATTACACGCATCGAGCAAATCTAGATCCAGGTGAAATTTTACACAGGATCATAGTCACAGGAGCAGGCCATTCAGCCCCTCGAGCCTGTTCTGCCCAGTTCCCACAGTATAAGATCATGGCTGATCTGTACCTCAACTCCAATTACCCGCTCTGGCCCCATATTCTTTCTCCCCCTACATCGGCGTTTAACGTTGGGATGCGGAGCCAGGAGATAGGAATGAATTGATCAGATTTTCCTGTATAAGCACCAACACACACACACAAAAAAAAATCGACTTGCTCAGGAACAGGTAGGCATTAAAAACATGCTCTCTGGCTGTTTCGTGCTGTGCGTGTAGTTTATTTGCCTGTCGGTGGAAATAAGCAGTGCACAGCTGATAATGAAAGACGCTTTCTGTTGCAGCAGCTGTTGTGTTTATTGGAGCAATAAATCCTTGAACCCACAAGAGCGCAGAAGAAAGGGGACGGTTGAGAAACAGAGAAAGACTGTGTGTACAGTGTGAGTACAGAGACAGCATCCAGCCTAATCCATAGCCACTCTTGGCAATGGAAGGTCGCGGTTATGAAAGAGATGATTGTAAGCTGCCCAGAGAGGCGTTAGACCAATTTCCTTCACTCTTTCTCTCTCTCTCTCTCTCTCCCTCTTTCCCTCCAGAAAAATCTTACAGCTTAAAGTCTCGCAACTTAACACGAGGAGCAATCTCACACTGATACATTCGCTGAATGCCGAATCTGAATGGAAAAAAAAACCATTTGTCCATACAAATATTTTCAGTATTTATTGTCGGGGGAAGTGTCTTGGAATCTTCGGACCCACCCACCCACGTGTCGTATAATAATGGAGCACCAATAAATATTCAAAGAATGCTTCTGGGGCAATTCTCATAGTTTGCACATTCTGCGACATTTTTTATTTTGGTTTTTGTTTACACTGAGGCCAAGCGATTTGGCCTTTGCTTAAGTGAGTGCTTCAGAGTGCTTAGGAACTGACTCCCATGGGCAGGCAGGCAGCTTTCTGCTCAACCAAATAGCATCTAA